ACCTCACCAACAACTCTAGCACACTTCTTAAACGGCTTCTTTGATGAGAGACCCAGTTCATGCATGGCAAATCTGCAGTCGGAGTTCGGAACAATTATAATAGAGCAAAATCAAGTTCACTCAGCACACAAGTAATACTCCGCCTTTCTTTCACACTCTCAATTCCAACTCCTTAACTCGGACAACATGTGGGAGAAAGGGAATGCAGAGCAGAAGAGAAGAAAAATAAAACCACCAAACATTACTCACAATATCCTCCGGTGAACGGGCTTCAATCCATCCCTCACATCTGGCAAAGCCCTTCCAAGCAAAACCGACATGGCATAGGACATGTAGGCCTCGGTGGCCTCTTTGTGAAGCTCGGTAGGAACCACGCGCCCATCTCTGCCACCACCATCGGAATCCTTCACCAGCAGGCTCCCGTTCTGGCCCTCGGCGTCGTCCCTGCGGCGCGCCTGGAGGGGGCGGAAGTGAGTCCCCGCAGAGGGGAATGCAGAGAGGGAACGGAAATGGTGGCGGAAGAAGGCGAATCGCGCGGGGGAGTGAGGAATGTGGTGCTGCAAGAGAGAAGAAGAGAAGCGGAGGGTGGAGGAAAGAGCCATGGAATCGAGGAAAGGGACCGTGAAGGAAGAAGCAGAAGGGGTCATGCCATGGAAGACTGAAGGAACTGAGAGGGACGAGCGGTGGGAAACGGGGGAGTGACGGAGGTTTTTTTAGTGTAGGGTTTTAGGGTTTTGGTGGTCGGAGAGTGAAATGGACGGTGACGGGGAAGAGAAGTGGATGGAAAAGGGGGAAGAGATTATTTTGGATTGGAGCAGCTTTTCGTTTATTGCGCGCCAAGTTGGTTTTGGGATATGGAAATATTTTCTTGTTTTATCGTCTGGGTTTGTTGTCCTTGGGTCAGATGAACATGTGATGTTGGCATTCGAGTTACAGCATCAAGTAATAGTCAACTCTTCCCTGGCAGAGCTCCTAGCCATTAGAGATGTTATTTCCATAATTGCCTTAAGATTTTTGACTCACGTGATAGTCGAAGGTGATTTCGAAGTGGTCGTCAAGCAGATCCGGCATGGCATTATAGAAGATTCGATTGGTGGTCCGCTGTTGCGAGAGTGTCGTCAGATCCTTAGCTCTTTGTCCAATTGTATAGAGTTTAGGGCGGTTCCTAGAATTGCCAACAGTGCTGCCCATAGAGTGGCGCGTAAAGCGCTGCTTTTGTCTCGTCTAGAGCTAGAATCTTTCGATATTTTTGGGTGGCTTCATTAGATTATATTGTAAGGATCCTGGGTACTGGGTAGATTTGCATGAATAACTCTTGTCTTCTGTTGATATCACTCAGAAAAAAAAAAAAGAAAAAAAAATTCCCTAAATATTTTTTTTTATTTACCCCCAATATGGAGGTTTTCAATTAATTGACTTGACAGATATTCTGTTTTTGTGGGGGAACACATGCGTTTCCGCATGAGACTCAAAAAGAGCCAATTGAAATACGACTACACACAAGCTCATTGCGGACCCATGCCAGTCTTATGCGGGCTCGCATTGCCACATTTCTTTACCCTTTTAATCTTCTTCCCCAACCTCCCGCAGCAGACCACCAACACACCTCCTTCCCCCCCCCCCCCCCCAAACCCTACGTTGCGCCACCCCGCGAACCCGTCCCAACCACCGCGTCTTCCGTCCAGTCTCACGCGAGGTCGCCGCTCTCCTCTGCGGGAACGCGTCGACAGCTGCGGGAGAAACTTAGTCTCGCGCGGAAGCGCCTGAACCAGAAACCACCAGATTTGGTTCGATGTCCGACTCAGACGAAGAACAGGCGGCCGCCGGAGGAAGAGGCCGTGGAAGAGGACGGCAAACACACGGCCGGTATCGAGATGAGCGAGTCACCGGTCGGAAGCTCGTCGTCGGCGTCCGGAAGCTCACCGCCAGCGGGTTTTTCCTGCTTCTAATTTTATTTTATTTTGCAGTTCCTAGGCTTCTTGACACTTATTCCACGAGATGACCACCTATGACGATTGATACAGCTCCGGTCGATTCAGTACTTCTTTGGGCACATGGTCGTGCCGACTCAGTTTGGCAAAACGAGGTAAGTATTTTATTTCATTAAAGTTCATTAGCTAGTTAGATTAGAATTTTGTGAAATTAGTATTAGTTTGATTAGATATATTTTACTAAATTATATAGATTTTACTATGTGAACTGAACTGAAATATTAGAATTGCATGTGAAATTTCGTGAAATTAGTATTAGTTTTGATGGTAAGTACTGGTGTACGTCAGGCGTATAGTACACAACAGGTGATCTAACCGTTAGATGTACTTAGATGAGCTCCGGCCGATCTCAACGGTCAATTTTTGTTTTTCATTAAATCAAACTTCGAGTTGGGGTTTAGAAAATCGGTGCCTGGGGTTTATCCATTAGAGGTTAGGGTATAATATCATACCCCAAACTCGATTTAATTCATGGTCTAGATAGAGATATCTCACTAGTAGTACATGACGTATAGTATACGCCTGACGTACGCCAGTCTGACCCTTGTTTTGATTATATATATTTTACTAAATTAGATATATTTTACAATATGATCTGAAAATAGAATTACGCCATGAAATTGAATTAATATAAGTTTTGTGCACTACAGGCTGGTGATCGCGTTTATCAGACTCGAGGTACGACTAATTTGGTCACGTACCATCCACGTTATGAGCCGTATCTCCATGATGTCGGTTTGTTTAGCGTTCAGCAGTTGGTCTCTATGACTGATTGTATTGATGCATCATTGATCACTGCTCTCGTAGAGCGTTGGCATCCTGAGACATCGACCTTCCACATGCCGCTTGGCGAGGTTACGATCACTCTTGAGGATGTTGCCACGCTGAGCGGTCTACCGATCGACGATGAGGCCGTCATAGTAGACATACCAGATCGGGAGTGGTCAGAGACGTGTATCAGACTGTTGGGACATGCTCCTAACGATCTTAACGGGGGTGTCGTTAAGATTACTTGGGTCAGAGAGCATTTCAACAATTTGTCGCCAAATGCATCATTAGAGATTAAAGAGCAGTTTGCACGAGCGTATGCCCTATCTTTGATGGGGTGTATGTTGTTTCCCGATCGTTCTGGAGCTACAGTTCATTTGTAGTATCTACTCATGTTGGATAATTGGCAAAGCGCTGGAGGCTACGCTTTGGGAGCAACTGTTCTAGCCTACTTGTACCTTGAGATGGGTAGGTCGGTTCTGCATATGACGCAGTCGTCTTCCACAAGAGGTGACCTTGGTGGCTGGGTCGCCTTATTGCAGCTCTAGGCGTGGGAGCGATTCTCATTAATAGCACCACGACATTCAGTGACGGATGAGCCTATTACAGAGAACGCATGTCCACGTGGTGCTCGATGGCTTCCGGCCATGACTGGTCATAATGGTGACCAACTCTTCAGTTATAAGTTGTTTTTTGACGAGCCGTCGACAATCGTAATTAGTGATAACATTTCATACAAGAATAGTTCATAGTTCTCATTAGTTTGTTTTAGACTAATGAGTAATAATGTGTCCACCTGTTGTGTGTAGTGGCTGCTTTTCTAGGAGAGAGGCGAGCAGTTTAGGGGTTATGTGGCACAGTCAGATACCTTTCGTGTAGTGGTTCGGCTTATCTGCTTTTCAGTAGTGACGTGGCACCATCCAGATCGCGTACTCCGACAGTTTGGCATGATGCAGAACGAGCCTCATCATCAAGCTCCTGAGGCGGAGATTAGGTATTTCCTTCGCCAAACAGTTCGTTGGCCATCGCGAGGGCAGCGGTTGATGCACGCCTCTAGAGAGTTGATTGATTTGTGGAGTCGTCGACATGAGTATATAACGACTATGCCATATACTCAGGATACTCTAGCCTACCACTCGGAGCATCTCGAGTGGTATCGAGATGTTACTAGACGTGCAGTCACACAAAGAGAAGCAGGAGTTAACGCAGCGGTTAGTTATTTATTATTTCGAAATAAAATTTTAGTTGATTGAGATTCATAGTTGTGTGGAATATTTGATATATTAAATAAAATTTTTAGTACGACACCATGGAATACGCTGAGCTGAGATTACGGGATGGGGAGTTGTCCACAGACGAGAGGATGGAGTTGGTCGAAATGATGGTGGCCGGGGGTGCTGCTTTAGGTTTGTATTCTCGCCGACATCCTGATATGACGGTACCTGTGCAGCTTCAGCCATACGAGAGCAGCCTTGCTAGTTGGCTAGAGCGTACGGCTCAGAGACATGAGTGGGACGTGCGAGGACCACAGCTCACACAGGAGCCCATGAGGCGTAAATAGCGACGTGAGCAGCGTGACGTACCTCACCCAGTGCGGATTTCAAATCGTCATTGAGCACGGCCTGTCCGACCTACTACTAACCTCGACTTCACGCCGCAGTTTTAGATGTCCTCTTCTGCAGGCTTTCATCCTTCTGAGACCCAGTTTCAGCCCTCTGAGACGCAGTTTTCTGGGGAGCGTTCTTATGGGTTTCATCCTTCTCAGACTCAGGCTCGGTTTCATCCCATTCATCCGCAGTTTCAGCCACCAGCCGATAGCTTTCATACATCGCCGCTACATGTTGTGATGGGTGGCGGCTACACAACCTCACCCAGAGCAGCCTCACCGAGAGCAGCCTCGCCCTATAGATGGAGAGACACAATATAGGGGGATACTTTTATGGATGTGATGTGACACCATGAGCAGCAGCTTTGGGGGCAGAGATTTACCACATATGCACCAGACAAGCATCCCCAGTCACAGATAAATGGTTTGTTCGGGACACAGGATCAGGATGACGTAGATAAGACTCACCACGATGAGGGCAGGCCAGTACGGGACAGACATGCACCGTTGTGTGGTACTGGCGGTCATCTAGTGGATCCTCGTGGTGGTGGTCATCGGGGTGGTCATCGTGGTGGTCGTCGTGGTGGAGGTCATTAGTGCTACTATTATGTATGACTATATATTATTGTGAACTATTTATGGTGGACTATTTATCATGTCATGATGTATTATTATGTATTATTTTGGACTATTTATTTTACTATTATTGTCATGTATGATGCCTATGTCTAGAACGAAAACTTGGACTATAGAAGTAACAACAACGTGGGGCAATAGTTTGAAAGTTCCAAAATCCAACTAGCACAATTGATCGTTCAAACCATAACAACGTCAACCAATAACACACTCTATCGTTCAAACCATACAACATCAACCAAATTACATACCACGTCGATTACTACTACTTACTCTTCTACCACCTCTCGCACGTCTACCACTTCCTCTTCGCTGGCTCCCATGCCACATGCTCCTCCACCAGAAGTGGATGCATCATGTCCACCTACTTCCTCTCTTGGCCAATACATCTCGTTGTGAATTCTTGTTGTTCGTGGCCTCCCCGGCTTCCTAATCATGTGCACGTTAGGATGGAGAGTAGAGCCATTGTGCTTCTTCCACCCCTTAGATTCACCAAGAGGTGTGAAACTTGTCCCATAACAAGCCAATACAGTTTTTAGCTTATAGATGTCATTTACAAACATTTACGGGTTAGCCCCCATTCGATTGCAAGCTGCAATGGCACGAAAGTAAGGAATTTTATTTCCTTGGAATTTCCCACAAGTGAAAAATCCCTCTCGATTGTGGTCATCGAAATGCCCTGTGAGTGTGTTCGAACCCGTCATGTTGAAATTGTTGGGAGGAGTGTGAACCACATAGATTCCCTGATGTCGATCAACCCCCGTCACGGAATGCCCAACTGCCTTTTGTGCCCACGACTTCATCAGATCTTCACATGGTTTCATGTACTGTGACTTCCCACTTCTGATTTGTGCTTCTGTCTCCAACCTCATCTTATCGAATTTCTCCAATAATCACCAATAAGTATGTTGCACAAGAGAAGCTATAGGAAATGAACGAATACCTTTGAAAACACCATTGATGCTCTCTGCCATGTTCGTCGTCATCATAGACCATCCAGGCCCACCTTTATAGTTATTAAGTGCTAAGCTCCAACGAAGTTAATTTTGACCGACCCAGTTATCACAAGAAATATTTCTTTAAGCGGACATCTTCTTAAATTGCTCAACTTGACGATCGAACTTCTCCAAGCGTTTTTCTCGGGCTAACAAAATAATAACCACAAGAGTTAGATAAATTCATGATAATATTATATTTTAAAATAAATAATACGTTGAAAATCAATAACAATAACGATGAAGAGACTTACCGACTCGAAACAGTTGGTTATACATAATTTTTCTTATCTTCTTTTTCAAGTTGCTTGCATAGTGTCGCATGCACCACCTCCACTCCCAACCTCTTCCGATGTCACCCATGGCTTCATAGAGTCCCGCATGTCTATCTGAGATGATGCATACGTCATTTCGATCGGTCAAACCTTGAACGTGATTTATAAACCATGGACAACTTTCAATATTCTCGCTCTCCATGATGGCAATTGCTATTGGAAAAATCTTCTTCCGACCATCATATGAGCTCGCCATGAGTAGCACTCCTTTATACTTTCCAATAAGAAATGTTCCATCAACAACCATGACTCCTATACAATTATTGAATCCATCTATACAAGGTCCATAAGCCCAGAATACTCACTGAAAGATCGAATGACCTGATTGAGCTTAAGGAATTCTTACTCAATCAATCACTGATGTTGGCATTTTTCACTTTACCACCCGCAAGAATGTTTGCAAATAATCATATGATTCTTCCCAATTTCCATGCAACTTATCCAATGCTCTTTGTTTCCCATACCAAGCCTTCTTATAAGTAACTTGCATATTAAATTTATCTTTCATCTCGGCTTGCACAGTTAGAACACTTAGATTTGGTTGGACACGTACCAAATGTTTCATGGGCTCAGATATAATGTCGACATCAAGATGACATGATCTGTCGGTTGAGTCATACTGCTACAAGAATGCACAAACTTGGCCTTTCTCACAGTCCATTCGCTTACAACGTCTCGACATCCAAACCGCACCATCCAAGGACAATTGTCATCCTTATGCTTCAAGCATCTAACCTTCCAGATCGAAGGTGATGACTCCACCACGCCATACTGAAAGTTGTGTTGTAGTGCGTGGTGTTTAATCGCCACCTGTGCAGCTTGTTTCGAGTGAAATATCTGGCCCTTGTAGAATTCTCCTTCAAAACCAGTAACAATAGGCATTGGAATTATCCCATATGAATCAACATGTGATAATTCATCATCCTCTTCATTAACCTGCAAATAAAAATATGGAGGAAGGTTAGCCTGTTATTCTTCCCCATGTTCCTCCTCCTCCTCCTCGTCGTCATAATCATGATCATATGACACACTCCATGTATCATCTTCACCCTTATCAGCCTGGCTAATCTCAACATGTACCTCAGCACCCAAACAATAAGGGTTTTGTGTCATCAAATCGAAAAGCACATTCAAACCATCATCATCCACGAAAATACAATATATGTGTCAATTAATTGAAAACCACCATATTGGTGGTAAATAAAAAAAATAACAATATTTTGGGATAATCCCTACAATCGATCTTACCTAGTATCGCAAATTTCGAGTTTGTTTACAAAAAGCAAATCGAATTATATTAGTGTTTGACATTGATTTATTTTGTGCAATACTATTTGACAGTAGTTCATCGGTTAATACAACAATATCTCATACATTCGAACATATATGATTATGAACCCAAATCCTTTAGCATGAAGTATTTCTTTTTCAAGTGAAATTCCCTATTAATTCTGATTAATAGAATAATGTTTTTTTTCCCTTCAAAGCGCACTCGTTTTTTATGTGGCTTCATCGGATATGCGACTAATGACGTAAAGACCGAATACAATAGCAAAAGCCAAAACTAATACAACTTCCAATGAGGAAAAAAGAATGAGAATTTTCCTCACAGGACAATGAGCCACCATATTCTCATCCCAACCGGATATAACAAACACTATACCAAGAAAGAAGAAGCAAATAGTTGTAGGGATAACATTCAAAAGCTGAGTCTCTTATCGGAATTTCCGACCTGGTGAGCGGGAAAAGAACATGTTCAAAAGACTTTCCTCTTTCATTGAAACAAGAGGACAAGACACACTAACTCCTTGATCGTCACACCCTAATTTTTAAGTGTCCCCCGCACGAGTGACCGAAACATTGATAGATCAATCTAACCTTATAAAAAAGTATTGTTTTTAGTACAAAGTACTCAAAATGAAGATACTTGTGTACACTAGGCATTCTATGTCCTACCTTGATTATACCAACGCCCTCCATCTGTCGCCACACCATATGTCGCTACACCAATGATTTAACGAGTTATTAAATATTTTTTTATCCATAAAAAGAAAAGAAGAGAACTAGAGAAGGTTAAAGACAATTTTTTTTTTGTCAAAAGATATCATATATTGATCAATAAACAGATAGTTACATCCTGGAAACCAGCCAAGCCCGGAAATCAAAGGAGCGACACATAGTCGGATACAAAGAGAGTGCTTTTCTAGCTACCGAATGAGCTACCATATTGTTCTCTCGACCTACAAATCGCACACTAAATCCAGGCTGGACGCGAAAATAATAACCTATCTCCTCCAGTATAGCACCCAACCTGTTGTCCCTTGTTTCGGCTTGATTAATAGGTTAAAGACCATTAACAACCCCCAAATAACTCATTTTGTAAACTAATAAAATGGCAATTGGCAAATGACTCCACCTAAATCCTAATTACGACACTCAGTCAATTTGCGAATTTATAAGTGACTAAGCTCAGTATCCAGCCAAGCCAAGAAGCGCGATACAAAAATAGAAAAATTGAAACGGGACAGGCCGCAGAAGAAAGGAAAGGGAGAAAACTGGGCGAGGAAGATGGAAGATTTCGAGCGGAAGGTGTCACTGGCTGATGATTCAATGGAAACGGATGGTGTGACTAAGAGCTCCAATTCCTCGCAAACCCTACTCTTGCTCCGCAGGTTCCTTCAAATCCAGCAACGTAGAGCCCAAGCTTATGCCACCCTCAAACGGTACTTCGCCAATCTTTCAGATCGTTTGCTTGTTCTTCGTTTTTTTCCCCTTCAATTTCCCTGACTGCCCACCTTGTTGGGTTCCTGAGAAAGTGAAGTGAACGAACCCTTTTCATCTGTCTCTTTCAACTTTTATGGGTGAATCTCCGGGTTGATTGGTCTAATAGAATACTCGGTATATGGATGGTGCCCTTTAGTTCATGTATTAGGGTTTTGCTGGGTAGTGTCAAGGAATTAGGGTCAAGGTTGTTTCTGATGTTACTTCTTTGAGGCAGGGTTCCCTAGTAAGTAAATTAATGTATGGGATCTGATGATGACTGCTTGGGCTGAAAACATTTTGATGTTGTGTGCTTCTGGTCATAGCTGCAGACGGATTGGGAGGTATCGTGGATTGAGATGAATTCGTTTTTGAGTACATAATCACCTCCATAATGAATGAACCAGAGGCACATAGCCAGGAGGAACCAAGAAGCATTGGTTAATGGCTTTGGTTTGTTTTAGGAGGATACATGTACACTCTAGTAAACCATGCAATCTGATTGAACTAATAAATTGGTTGCTATGTTCAGATTAGTGAACTATATGATCGAATGAATTAAAATGGAATTACAAAATAGTTACCTGGAACAGATTTTAACTTCTGTCCACTTTGTCTGGAATTCTTGCTAATAACGTCCATGCTGATAGAATGTTATGAGCATGAAGCTAGTGAGATCGTTGTTTTTGGATGGATGTCTCGTTAACTTCTCGAGGGCGTGCTTTTCCCCGGACCTGGGAGCATGAAACCTCCTCTTTACCTGCCTATTGAATTTACTAGGATGTATTGGGGGAGTGTTACAGCTCTCCAGATTAGTTTCTTCGAAACTTGGTAACTCTAGTATTCAGAGATGGACCTGGCTCCACTTCTAACTTTCTGGAAAACTGAATGAATTCCATCACAGTGGTAAATTTACTATTTAGAACCGTTTTCCTTTTGTGTGGTCCTGATTGTGGTCTTGCTTAGAATATTGTTGCAGGGAACGATGATGATATCTTTATACTAGATAATGAAACAAACCATTGATGTTTCTTAGCTGACTATTTTTGCTGGTATGCGTTGCCAGAGGTTTTACTGAATATCTGGCTTCGGGAGGGGAGCTGGCTTACCAAAAGCTTTGCACTGAGATCACAACAGAGTTCAACGACTGCTCAAAACAAGTTTGGTTTGCGAGCTTTGGACTGCATTGAAACTTTCTGATATGTGCTCATTTGCATGTTTCACTTACCCAATTGTTTGTTGTTACTACTTGAGCAGGTCCGTGAAATCGAGGCCCTATTTCTAGACCCTGATTGCAGCCGGTCCGATCTAGCACAATTGCTCAGAGCTGTTCAAACTCAGGAGAAGCTGAAATTGCAACTGGTACTGTAATATAATTATCCAATATCTGATTTTCTGTGTTATATAGCAGTCTGTGCCAAAGTTTTCTTGGTCTGGGGACACCTGCTAATTGCTATGTTATCTGAAAGTTTTAGGGACGCTGTTTGCTGAGGAATTTTTTTTCTTCTTTTGTTTATTCTATGCTCAGACTGCAACGATTCAGTTGTTGAAGAAAGCTGGGCGGCCATCCGAGCGACTGGTGAGTCATGCAAATTGCAGTTTTCCGAAGCCCATGGAACACCAGTGCGTGCACGTGCATGAAATAACAGAGAGTGACGGGACTGAAGAAGCAGAAGCAAATGCTGAGTACGACAATGCCCTCAATGAAGCCATTCGAGGTGTGCAGGACGCAGTGACTTCCATTAATGAACATATTGAAGAAGTGAAGTATGAGATTGCAGCGATTGAAGTTGAATGACATTGCATATATCAGAGACAACATAGTATGCTAGAACAAGAGTTCCCTCCTTGATATAGACATGTATCGATTATGAATTACATGCTCGATGCGGAGAACTTTTGTAAATAAGTTCTATTTCAGCGTAACTAGGCAATGTGATTGGTTGATGTTGTACCAAAATTTGTTCGATCCTTCCAAAAACCATAAAATAGTACGATTACAGCAAACAGATATAGCAATGCAGCCTTCAACTGCTACCCATCATCCCATCAAAGTTAGAGAAGTGGTGCATGACTGTTTCAAACAAATTAAAAAGAGTTTACAGGAGCAGAAACATGCCACACTATCTCTATAAAACTTGGTTGGCATTGGACAATACACATGTTGATTCTTCCTCCAGTTCTCTTCTGTGCATTCTCATCTCTGCTGCCATTTATGCTCACAGAAGGGAACATGGACAAGAAATCATTGTCGATCAATGATGGGAGTCTGACTAATGGATCCTCCTGAAACGTGTAGAAGAAAACATGCCATTGATTCTCCTGATTTGCTATCATCCGAAAACCCAAGTGGAAAAGATAGTAGTGTAAATAGACAACCAAACAAGAGTGGGAAAGAATTGGTTTCTAAACAGCAGCTCTCACCTTCTACCAACGAAGAAATGAATCTCTAAGAAGCAGCTGTAGCTTTGATCCACACGGAATAGAGACTATGGTCTTTTACCCTATACGTCATTTTTGAGCAAAAGCCAAAATAGTAAAAATGGAGGTATCAGCATCAGCAGCAAGCTACTTTACACAAGGGAGAAGTGCAATTATAATCAACAAGTTGATAGAGATAGACGTAAGAACCCTAAGTTTGACAGGGACTTACAGGTACAGGTTGTTGGGATCAATCTCAGAAAAGAAGTTGACGTAAAAGCGAAAGCCATCAGGGCTGATATCCCTGCACAGCAAACCTGGTGACATGTTTCAGTTCAGCAGTGGAACCTTAGATTTTCTCAGCAGCGAGTTGACAGAATTGGGACATACCTTTGCTCTCGGCAGACAGAAGATGCTCTTTGGCCATTGCTGGAGCAATACCCAAGGTCATTGCAGCATCACTAGCACTTATCCCATATGTAAAAGCATCTGGCTTTGTCACAAGAGCTTTGATTCGAGCAAACACCTAACCAGACAAGTTAATAGTATTGTAAGAAATCCTGGAACCTCTTTGAACATGTGGATGGATGCTATCTATTTAGGACAGCCATGAACAATAAGCCAATAAATCAACATGTTGTTGTTCCGAATATGACTTCATTGTTGGCATATGCAGAAGTCAAGAGTCTTGCAGGGAAGATCAGAATCCTAAGCATCAACACAGTCTTGACCATTGATTGCGACTTGTTCCCTCCCCCGAGGGAGCATATGGAACAGAAAGAGGACAAATCTAAAGAAAAACCTAAATCTGCATCATAAGTGCTTGAATGTGTAGGATATTAGAGATCACCTCTTCATCACTATGGGCCTTGTTCTGGATGACCATCACACCACTATCAAATTTCCGAAGCATGACTGGTCTGTCAAACAAGATACAAGGTCTCAAAATCAATGTAGTGCAAGATTTTAGCACTGCAACCATAACTAAATCAAACAAATAGGCATACAGCACATTAGTTGATGTTGGTGTCATACATACACATCAAACTTCTCCCAAAGAGAGCAGGCTTGTAACAAATCTTCAGGCGAGATCAACTCTGCATTTTTCAGAAACACAGTAAAAATAGTTTCTCTTTAAGAAAGAGCTCATTGGTTGAGATTAATCTATCTTGGAAAGAAATGCTTATCAGAGGCGGACCTAAGAAGGGGCAGGGTGTGTCGTCCGACACACCCTCGCTCGAGATTTTTACGAAGGACCTACATATTTTTGGTACAAAATTTTTTACTTCGGGATAGCCGACACACCTTCAATAATTATAGTCGACACACCTTCATTATACTAGAAGATATTATTATCCAAATGAATCAATCTTAATCATAATCTTTTTTAATTTTGTTTAAAATAACTCCTAAAGCATAATCCTATCCTTCATATAAAAAAAACACTCTAAACTCATACAATATAGTGTTGGGTCTGGGCCTATAATTAAATAGAGAAAAAAAAATCATAGGTCAAATGGGCAATAGCCCAATCGGCCACCTCCTCCCATTATTATTCCTTCCCTCCCAATCCAATTAATGGCTCAATCCCCAAATTAATGGCCCAATTGCCATTTCCCTGTCCGTATCCCAAGCCCCAGCGACCCATCCCCATTATTCCCCCTGTTCCCTCTTCTCTCGCTCGCAAGTCGCAAAAAATATAATCCCCTGTTCCCCCGTAGCACCCCTCATCAGCCTACAAACTTGCATTACTATCAAGTCGATTTATTCTATGCAGTTATAGATTTGCAGTTGCAAGAATTGAATACTCGATTTGGTGAGGTGAACACTCGATTGTTGGACTGCATTTCTTGTTTTAGTCCAGGTAACTCTTTTGCTTCTTTTGATAAAGCAAAGTTGATGAGTCTTATTGAGTTTTATCCCGAGGAGTTTCCATCCAATGTGCTCTCACGACTTCATCAACAATTGGGGGGCTACATTTCTCATGTCAAGGAGGATAAGAGCTTTGATGGATTGCGAGGAATCGACGAGCTAGCTAGGAAATTGGTGGAAAGGGGAAAGGACACTCTTTATCCTTTAGTTTACTTGCTGTTAAAGTTGGTGTTGACCTTACCTGTGGCAACTGCAAGCTGTGAAAGAGCATTTTCAGCTATGAAGATAATCAAGAACGATCTTCGAAATCGGTTTAGTGACCAATTTATGAATGATTATTTAGTTGTATATATTGAAAAAGATTTGCTTTGCAGCATAAGTGATGAATGTATTTTAGAGACATTTCAGCAGATGAAAAGTCGTCGCGGTTCGTTGTAAACATGACATTGTGAACTTTATGAATTAATTTCTTTTAATTTCTACTTAATTTTTAATTTAATTTAATTATTATTATATTTTATCGGCGACACACCTCTCCGACAATCCTGGGTCCGCCACTGATGCTTATGGACTTAAACCTAAACAAGACGTTACCTGTGCCCCGAGCACGATTGAAGAGACAGTAAATGTCTATCAGGTTGATCATCCCTCCAGCTCTTTCAAGAGGAACTCTCACAAAATCTGCCAACTAAGAGCCAAAGAACTATCAATCGCAGTCCTAGGATGCAAATTAAAGTTAAACAAACACTTAAGATCTACAAACAAAACAATGAGCATGTTAGAGAGGCCAATCACAAGTTAGTCAGGAGAACCAGAATCACAGTCTAATAAGATTAGCAAATAGAAAATTAAGGAAGTGAAAAAGGAATAGCCACCTGACGAGACAATTGCTGATGGTACAGGGCACCTGCGGATTCTTTTGTAACAGGGGATATGATACCGACACTTAACAACCAGTCTTGGATCTCTTTGGAGCCCATTTCATCATCATTGCCTGAACTAGTTTGAGAATTTGAACCAGACAAAAGCTTTTGCCTCATTTTCTCTGCTAGTGTCATCATCTCTTTAGCCTTACTCTGTGAATTCAGAAACACAAAGAAGCTCAAACAGATCAGTAAGCTTAAACGAAAAGATGCTAGGTAGATATGATATGATTACAACAGAGCATTGCTATCACCTTCTACATTGGAACTTGAAAGACCCACATTCAAGCAAACATATAAAGATTAAAGATTCCATCGTTCCATCTCCAAAAGTTTCCACTTTCCTTCCATAACAAAACCGACCCTACTATTCATGACAGTCATTAACAAACCCAGCCAAGAAGCTGGAAGTCTACAGGATCAAAAGCAGCAAGCTTTTCATTCAACCAAATTCTGAATAGTTACCAAGATGTCAAAGATTCTGTAGTATCAAAACAGATATTAAATCCAACGTTGGGAGGTGGTCGCATCTGAATACTGCCTCCGCAACTTTCTGAGCACTAAGGTCAGCAACATTTTGTTGATGTTAAGAGAAAGTAAACACAATACCATGAGAGCATTCAAGTCCTGAAAAGCATCCTGCAAGCTCTTATCTGTATTCTCCCACATTTCTTGCTCCTTCCTCAATATTCCAGCGACTCCAACCATCCTCACCGATCCATCACTCGAGTATAACCCACCAGAGCTTGAACTTGGAGCAGGAACCAAGCTGCTGCTGCTGCTGCTGCTCGCAGAACCACCAGATTCCTTTGAAGCCGTATCAGAAGTTTCCCAAGCTCTCGCCCTCCAACTCTCCCACAGTTTAGCAAAGAATGCTTCCCAATCCCCTTTGCCTCTGACGACCACCGTAACAACGGCACTCTTGGAGTTCACGGAGACCTGGAACCTGAACCTCGGAGAGTGGAACATGGCCTTGATCGACTTCTTCGCTGAGAAAATGTGGGTGATTGATCCCAGAGCAATGGCGATTGCCGTTGTATTGCTGGAATTGGAGGACAGCCAGAGTAGGCGGTGGGTTGTAAGGATGAGTACGCCCGATTTCAAAGGAGAGAAATCGTAAGAACCGGAAGAGTTACTACCGCTAGCGTTGTCTTCAGATTCGAGGTCGACCCCTGAAAGAAGCTGGCATTCAACCTCATCGGGAAGGAGGACCGGCCGTCCGCTAGTAGTGAGAGACGCCGGCGGGAAGTAGTTGTGCGGCGCCGCGGCCATCTTGTTTCTATAAATCTATGATCGGTAGGATTTTCTTCCGTCGAATTTCCAAGTGGCTTCCCTAGCCGCTATGATGAAATCGGCGGCAGCGTCAAAATCGAGCGGCACTGGAAGCATTCGCAAGAAGTCAATTTGGTTGATTTTCAGAGCTTCTGTTCTGTGGAACAATTTTTTTTCTTTTTGAATGATAAATCATAAAAAACTAAAAAAGAAAGGAAAAGGGCAAAGGAGGAAGAAAAAAGAATAAAGCTTTACCGCGGCCATCAATCAAAACTAGGCTTAAACCCTCGTTGAAACAAACCATGGATGCTTTCTTCTTCTCGCCAGCCAGCCTGCCCTAGTCCTAAGTTCCCTCTCTTCAATCTGCTTCCCTCAAACCTCACGATTCTACTTCTGGGTTTTGACCGCTCTTTCATCCTTTGTCTCGTTTTCGTATCAGTCGTCCCGCGGTAGCCTTAAATCCTACAGTTCTGCAACAGTTCTCTGTCAGTACTTCCTAGCCATAAAATGCGACATCCTGGACCTGGTAATTCTTTCCGTCCTCGGCCTCAACATCAGCCTCAGCCTCCTGCACAACTTCAAGCTAATGCTAATGCTAATCCAACTGCTCCAGGGAATTCACAGGTACCATTGTCGTTCTCTGCTTACTTCCTTGCTTTCTGTTTTTTCTGACTGAGGTGATTGCTATCTTAATGGTGAGTTGGTGACTCGTGGCTTTCAAACTGAACAGGGTCTCTTAGGTAATCCTTCCCAAGGAAATTCACCGTTTATGATGCAGAGTTCAGTGCCGATGCAACCTCCAGTGGGTGGAATCAACCCTCCAACTTTTAACAATTCCTGTACTCATCAAAGCAATGGGCAGTTCATGCCGAATATGCATCCTATGATGATGCAGCAACCCGGGTACTTCAATGCTCCTCCTATGATGGCTCCTCCACAGCTCAATCCAGGGTTCCCTCCGCAGAATTATCCTAGCAATATGGGCGGTGCTCCAATGTATGCGAATCAAATGAACCCATTTCAACAAGTGCAGTTGGTTCAACAGCTTGCCACTTTGGTTCAACATCTCAGTCAAAATGTGGGTCTCATGAACATGCCGCCGCATCAAATGCAGAATATGAATTCTATGATGCCTTTACAAGTTCCAAATCTTCCTCAAGTTGGTCCTGGTAACATCCCTCCAAATTGTCACCCACCCCCAGTGCCCCAAAATCCAAACATGTTCCCAAATCGAATATTTGGTGCCGTGCAGCAACCTAATCCCAACCAGCAAAACTTTGTGATGCAACCAATGGGTGCAAATATGCCCAATAGCTCAACTGCGACCACCGAGCAAGGGCCGGGACCGGGTAACCCCTCGGCGGCTGAGCAGGCTTTTCAGTCACAGTCTTCCTCCTTCCCTAGACAGCAGGTAACTACTTGGTCTTTATTCAGAAAATTAGCTTGGCCACGTTTCTTCTTGGTTTCTAAAGTTTTCTTATGGCGTTTGGTTCCTAGTAATGACAACTCCGTGACCAAGGGAGTCTTTGATGTGTTAGACTACTTGAAAAATTTCCCTTAACCGGAAATTTCTTTGCTCATTGTATTTTGGTCGAGCAATCTGGGTTACTGCAACACATTGAAGCAAGAGCTATTGGTTAATGTGAGCCAAATACTTGTTTCAGGGTAATTTTGATGGAAATGCTCAGGGAAGCAAGACAAATCCCCAGTGGAGAAACTCTCCTAGGAAAGACTTCAAGCAACATTTCAACAAAGAGGGTTCACAGCCAAGGTGCACACTTTTCGCCTTACATTTGACTAATAATTTCTGTTAATTGAAGATTTGGGCCATGTTTTAATGTAAATCTCACATGCAGATATAATAATTCCCAGAACCTTGCCAATGATAACAAGAAGAGGAAATTTGAGTTGAAAGGTTGGTAACCGCCCACTTGACTTAGGTTATATGTTATATCAGAATACTACGAACTTTTCATGCTGGATGAGATTGTCTCTATTTATCAGCAAATCTGAATTTGGATCTTTGAGTTTGCATTGGCTGGACAGAAGGACCTAGCTTCTAACAGATCTTTGAGTTGGATATTTTTGTAGTAAGCATTGACAAGATAATAAACCAGCAAGACGATTAACCTTAGAAATTTTCGTTGAACTTACATGAGTTTAATGGCCTTTGTCATGGCTCGTAATAGTGCTCTGGTGCAGCACATATGATATCACAGCTTCTTCATACTTGGATTCCATGGAGGAAACATCCTATCTTGTTAATATAAGAGAACCTAAGCATATGTTGACATGCAAGTTGCAACCTAAAGATTTTTCTTGCGAAATAGATTTCGGGGTTAATATTAGTTTTCAATCATGAATCATTCTGCAAAATTGCCTTAATGACACATCGCTGGCCTGCTGTACCGTTTAATTTATCTCTTCGTTGCCTGTACTTACATATTCGTGTTTTTCTGGGCACTAATTACCATGACTAGTGAGTACCAAAATTTTGTGAAGTTACCTGACTGGCTGTATCGGCATCAATGATAACTGATGTGCTGAGCTGCTTTGTAGGGCATGGTTATGAGAGGGCTCCGAAATTTGCTGGCACTAATTCCCCAAGTCAAGTCGGAACAAAGAAAAGGTATCTTTTATTTCCTTGTTCATTAATATTAAAATTGCTATTTTACCTGCTATCCAAGGCCAGAAAGAGTAGTAAATATATGAGTTTTACGAACATGATTCATGATATCTTGGTCTTTCTTTTGGTGACAAACTAGGACGTCGCTTGAGTTTCTGGCTGGGATTGGTTCTGCAGTGGCCTTGTTTTAGGCATTTTATTGAAAGTTATCCATTTGTTAATAGCACAGGATTAAGGATACCTTGGACTTTCTTTTGGTGACAAACAAGTACGTCACTTGATTTCTGGCTGAGATTGGTTCTGCAGTGGCCTTGCTTTAGGCATTTTATTCGAAGTTATCCATTAGTTCATAGCACATTAATTGGGTGATCATGTCCTGGTTGACGAAGAGCTGGAAAGTAAAGCTGCATTTAAAGTGTCAAAAAGGTTCTTCTTTGCCTTGGGCCTCAAGTGCTTCCTTTCCAATCAGAGTAGTTGTTTCAAAGGACAATATGGCTGAAACTTGTTGTGTTTATTGTGTTACCTCCAGCCTAGGATACTTCCAATGTGCGCTAGCACCGTCTTTTTTATAAGCTCTCATTATGCTGTCTTCTGTCTGTCGTAAAAGTTACAGATTTTGACCTTCTATACTTTTTTCCTTCACAAGGACTCTTGTTGTGAACTATCCAGAACATGAAGTCAAACAGTGGTGCGAGCTACGTAAGAAGAATTACCCAACGAAAAGCAATATAGACAAGGTATAATAAGCTTGTTGCGCACCTGACATGCATCTTGACTATATTGATTATCTTTACCAATATTGGTGACTGCAGAAGCAGGCTCTAAAGCTGGCAAACTCTGAGGCCATTGAGAAAGAGGCCACACTGCGCCGAGAGGTACACTTCTAATTTTTACCTGGCGAATTTTGGTCTACCCTAGTTCCTATAACACCTAAGAACCAGATAAACATATTATTAAGGCATCCCAATCAGAGCAAGGGGCCTCTGGATTTAAATTTAGTTAGGGGGATCGCTTCATTTCTATGTTTCAGAAGAAATGGAGGGAGGAAGAGAGTGCAGAGAACTATGTATTTTAGGATGGCTTCAGCACTCTGGGTTATACAGAGGATACTGCAATTAAACACAGAACATCATTGTTTTGAATTTGCTTTGTGTGATATTATTGTAAGGGTAGTTGTTAAACTTGTGAGGTGTTTCACATCTCCACTATCTTCTTTTTTTCTTCTGGTTAGTTGGTCATTGTTACATCAGAGCTGGGGACTAGTCAACCCACAGTCTTCCTCTGCACAATTATTTTGCTCCAACACTGCTTAGAAGTTCTTGATCTGCTTGTTTTGTTATGCCCTAACCTATTGTGATTTGACTTGAAAATCGGGTTCAGCAACTGAAAGAAGTACTGGCAAAGCAAGCTGAGTTAGGAGTTGAAGTTGCAGAAGTTCCATCACATTACCTGTCGGACTCAAACAAGCAAGCTACTGGACAGGGAGATGGTAGATGGGAGAAAAAGAAAGGGAGGTTCCAAAACAAGCATGATAAGAGAAGGGAAAGACGCAACAAAAGAGGCCAAAAGAATGGCAACCACGCAACAACATCAACCCATGATGATCATTCGTCACCATCAGGCGTTCCTGCTGCCAACAAGAAACAGCCTACACTTCTGGAGAAGCTTCTGAGTAGAGACATAAAGAAGGACAACCAAAGATTGCTCCAGGCCTTCCGGTTCATGGCGATGAACTCTTTCTTCAAGGATTCGCCGGGGAAGCCTTTGAGTTTTCCCGAGGTAGCTGTTCAAGAAGATGACATAGGGACTACTGTTGTAGTCGAAGAAAATGCCGCTTGTGATGGGAAATCTGAAGAAGTAAGCGACGAGCGAGGAGTTGAAAGTCTTACAGTGGAGATCAATGCTGGACAGGACCATGGGCATGATCATTACAACGGTAAGCAAGAGCAACAGCTGGAGATGAAACCAACGACAGGTTTGACAAGGGAGAGAAGGAACCTTGCTGTAGAAATTGTCAAAACCGAGGGTGAAGAAGGAGAGATCATCGACTGATGATGGAGTTCAGTCTATCTCCATCGTGATCAATGTTCCCCGTGTAAAGCATTCTGCATGGAAACAGTATGGAACTTGGATGGTGTATATTACATATCCACCTCTTCCCTGGGTTTCTTTTTTGTTGTTGTTGGTGTGAATTAGGCAGGATGTGTTATAGTTGCTTCTCCCTAGTAGATACTCAAGGTTATGCTGATGGAATGACTATAATAACTTACACCAGAATGAGAGTACATTTAGTTCATAAACTAAACTACCCTACCCGAAGGCTCAAACTCTAGCCACTGACATCCTATTCGGAGCCGAAATATATTTTCTATTTTTCCATTCAAGTGACAGTTCCATTTAAAAGGTTCAGGCAGCAACATTGTTGATAGGGCCTGGCAGCATCTCTGAAAACTGTGGTTGAAGTTGAAAGATCATGCAAATATTAGAAGTGAGATTTACAACCTGTATCAAGACTAAAGATCACAGCAAAATATACACAGACTACAGCTTGTTCAGAGAACTACCCCATATGTCAAGCACAGACATATCAGCACATCTAGGATTTGCAGCAGGAGCAGCCATGCTCGAACCTAACAGTAGCTCTGCTGTGGCAGCACCACAGCAAACTCACAATTAGGAATCAGCTACTGTCAATAGCAACATAAGAACACCAACGATATCACACACGTAACAACCAATGGTTGCTCGATTCTATTCGATCAAACACGAAAAAGGGTGCCTCCTTCAGCTAAAAGGTCTAGACTAGCAACCGCGCACAGGAGAACAAAAAAAAAAAAAAACAGGTGCAGAAACCATAATCATATACATGATATAAGAGGCACAAACAGAAACATAAAGTCTCAGGCATTTAGTATTCTCACCAAATCACCGAAACCAGTAGTGTATTATAGTAAATCTTTGAAAAAGCTCCCAATTCCAGAACATAAAATTTTGTTGCAATCCGAATTGGGAATTAAATAACTACACTTAATCAAAACTTGGGGACATAACAGAACACGATTATGGCAGCAGCCGGTAGATGATAGCTTTCTTCTTTCTAATCAAAGAGGGAGAAACCCATGTCGTCGTCACTCTCTTCTTTGGCCTCCTCCTGCAAAAGAACGTTTCATCGCCATTACTTTATTTGTGTGGAAATCATCGCCATTACTTAGCTACCACACCGAGTAAACTAAAATGAAAAAAAAAAGGCGGCCTGCATACAATTCAAAGCAGCCAATACGAACAACAAAAGCTTAAGAAGAGAAATCAATCAATTCACCTTCTTCTCCTCAGCTGCAGGGGCGGCAGCAGCAGGTGCAGCAGCTCCACCAGCAGGAGCAGCAACGGCAACAGCACCGCCACCACCAGCGCCAACATTCATGATAAGGTCGTCAACATTTCGCTTCTCGGCCAACTTGGCGAACAGGCTTGGCCAGTAAGACTCAACGTTCACATTCGCGGCCTTAACCAATGCGCTAATTTTCTCCGCCTATCAAACCCAAACATTTCATTCATCATGCTACCCCCATCTAAATCAAAATCTACCGGGAAAGGAATTGAATTTCGTATAGGGTTCCAAGAAAATGCTTACCGTGATGGGGATGCCATCGTCGTGGAGAATCATCACGGCGTAACTGCAAGCTACCTCTCCGAACGACATTGTTTCTGGCTTCTGCCAGCAGATCAGAAAGAAAAAACGATCAGAGGACGAAAGAAACAGTTACTGGAGATCGGACCGGGGACGATGAGAGACTTACGTTGATGAGAGCAGAGAGAGAGACCGGCGAGAGAAGACTGCACGGCGCTGCGGAAGAGAAGGTAAAACGTTTCTGCTAGGGTTTGCGAGAGAGAAGAAGCTCCTTATGGCTATTGACTTCTGAAATGGAGATGAAAGGCCGCGGAATTGGGCTGCTGGTTAGGGTTTCGGCCCAATAATCCATGAAACTAACGGCCCATTTGTGGAAGTCCATGTTTTTTTTTTTGGTTGACGGGTATTGACCGCCATTCCATCGCCCTCAGTTCTATTCGGGTTTTCTAGGAAGTCAATTGAATGCCGAGATTGCTCTCTGGTAATCCGAAGCTTCGCGCGCATGCTTGATGTCTAGTTCTCTGTTCGTGGGTCTCGAAGAAGAAGAACTATGGCGCGGGGCTGTGTTTCATCGCTTTTGCGGTTTTGTAAGTCGAAACCCGCCGGTTCCAGGACCAGGGGTTTCGTTTCTGTGCCAAATTTGCATTCTTTGAGGCAATTAGACAACAGGGCATCATCATCAATAGGTCGCCACGTTTGCCCATCGTTTGGCTTCCCTTCTCGTCAAATCTTTACTGGCTTGATCGAGCTGCAGATAATTATTTCTGGGTCTCCATTGAAGTGCTCCAAAGTCGGCAGCTTTAATCGAATTGATGTGAGATTGTTTTCAACGTCCGGCGAGGATGGGGATGGTGGGAACAGCGATGAGAGTACCAGTATGGACGTTGATGTGAGTGTTGATTTTGGGGGAGGGAGCAAGAATGTGATAAGCCAGGGGATTGATGATGTTGATGGCAGAGATGTGCGCCAGGATCACATTGATGATGCTCCTGCCAGAGAAAAAATTGTTGTCAAGAGGAATATGGCGTTGTGTGATCCGATAGAGTTGTACAGGGAGCTTAGGATGGCCGAGAAGAATGATCAGATGAGACGGTCTGACTGGGAAGCAATCCAGGATGTGTTCTCTTACTTTGCAAATTCAGGTTGGGCAGCTAACCAGGCCCTCGCATTTTATATTGGCATGTCGTTTTTTCCTACAGCTGTTCAGAAGTTTAGGAAGTTTATCTTGGATAAGTGTTCTGCTGATCTTGGGCTATATTTGGTGTCGCTTGGTCCCTGTGATGATGCTGTTAGGTTCCTTTTCCCCATATTTGCTGAATATTGTCTAGAAGAGTTCACTGATGAGATGAAGAGCTTCGAGGCTATGATTTCGAAAGCGGACCTTACAAAGCCGCACACTTGGTTTCCTTTTGCTAGGGCAATGAAACGTAAGATCGTATACCATTGCGGGCCGACAAACAGTGGCAAGACTTACGAGGCGTTGCAGCGATTTAAGGAAGCGAAGAAGGGTATTTATTGCGGTCCGTTAAGGCTTTTGGCTATGGAGGTGTTTGATAAGATGAATTCCGTTGGGGTTTATTGTAGTCTTCTCACTGGGCAAGAGAAGAAACGGGTTCCGTTTGCGAACCATGTTGCTTGTACTATAGAAATGGTGTCTGTTGATGAGATGTATGATGTAGCGGTTATTGATGAGATCCAGATGATGGCAGACGCAACCAGAGGCTTTGCCTGGACAAGAGCATTGCTGGGGGTGAAGGCTGATGAAATTCATCTATGTGGCGATCCAAGTGTGCTTGACATTGTGAGAAAGATTTGTGCAGAAACTGGAGATGAGTTGGAAGTACACCATTGCGAGCGGTTCAAGAAGTTGGAGGTTGAAGCCAAAACATTGTTGGGAGATCTGAAAAATGTCAAGTCTGGGGACTGTGTTGTTGCATTTTCAAGAAGAGAAATATTTGAGGTGAAGTTGGCCATTGAGAAAAACACTAACCATCGATGTTGTGTTATTTATGGTGCATTGCCTCCCGAGACTCGCCGACAGCAAGCTAACTTATTCAATGACCAGGACAATGAGTTTGATGTATTGGTTGCAAGTGATGCAGTAGGAATGGGTTTGAATCTAAATATCAGAAGAGTTGTCTTTTACAATCTCTCCAAATACAATGGCGACAAAGTTGTACCTGTTCCAGCAACCCAGGTCAAGCAGATTGCAGGAAGAGCTGGCAGGAGAGGAAGTCGCTTCCCAGTTGGACTCACCACAACCTTGCAATTAGATGATCTTGCCTACCTTATCGAGTGCTTAAAGCAACCTTTTGACGAAGTTAAGAAAGTGGGACTCTTTCCTTTCTTTGAGCAGGTTGAATCATTCGCAGCGCAACTTCCTGATCTTAATTTCCCCAAGATTCTGGCGAAGTTTGCTGAAAGTTGCCGTCTTGATGGAATGTACTTCTTTTGTAAGCATGATCATATAAAGAAGGTAGCAAATATGCTGGAGAAGGTTAAGGGTTTGTCTCTGCAAGATCGTTTCAACTTTTGTTTTGCTCCGACTATTATTAGGGACCCAAAATCAATGTATCACCTTCTAAGGTTTGCTTCGGACTACGGTCAGAAAGTACCTGCTAGTATAGCAATGGGGATGCCTAAAGGTTCTGCTAGGAATGACACTGAGCTCCTGGACCTGGAGACAAAACATCAAGTTCTGTCGATGTATCTATGGTTGTCTCATCAGTTTGACTATGAAAGTTTCCCACATGGGAAGAAGGCTGAAGCTATGGCAACAGACATTGCTGATTTGTTGGGTCAATCTCTTACCAAGGCGAACTGGAAACCAGAAACTAGGCAGTCTGCTGGCAAACCAAAACCTCGGAAAAATGAAGATGGTTATGACAGGCCCAAATCACTAATCACATCATACAAGGAGTAAGTTTCTGCACATGTAGTGAACTGGAATTTCCTAGATTACAAATTTATACTTCTGAACGCTCACTAGTCCTGCACTGCTGCATTATATACTAAAATTATTATGTTTTGACGATTGCTTCAATGTGACATGTGAACCACGCCCATATCTATATAAGGATCTTCTTACATATTATTGTTCACCCGTCACGGCATCTAGATGATAACTTTCAGTGAGCATGACCATGAAATTCTTTCTAGATTATTGGATATATAGGCTATTATGCTCTGATCCTGCTTGTTTATTGGGCAGTCAACTATTTGCTTCTCAGTTCAGGTTTATGTATGCAGTTAGGGAGACAAAGCAGTCAGGAGAAAGGGGTGAACTGGAAGTTAACTGAGTCATATTATAATATGCTGTTCGTGTTTATTGATGCATGTCCAGTTAAGTTGTCATCCGTACTAAAACACTCGAGGAACATTGATTGGAATGTTTGACATTGTGAATATGATTGGGAGTTTTTAATAGGCCCATTGAACATTTTTTTGGAAGTGGAAGTAGTCATAAACTAGTAAACTGGTGATGCCATACTTGGCCATGTTATGTGTATATGTCTGCTATTTCTGTGATTATCAGGTGTCTTACTTTTGGTGGAATTTAGCTCTTCCTTAAGGATCTTTGATTTTACGGCGTCTTGTCGACTAAGCATTTCTTCCATTCGCTGCAGGAAAAGGCAGGGGAAAAACAGGGAGCAGGAAACTCAGAAAAATTCAGCAGCATAAAGATTCTTGCAGGTAGCATCTTAGTAGTTTCTACTAATGCATCTTGTTACTCCTTTTTGGGTTCGGGTCAGTTGCATAATATTCTCTGGTTTAGGTGATTTATGGCGCTGACTTGTAATTTTTGTGGGCATGATCTCATATGTGGTGCATTCTTCGATGTCATAACTTTAAAACAAATTTACGTTGTTGTAAGCGGTTGTTGCTTATGCATTTGTTACTGTTTCAATTTTCTCTTCTGCGTAACATGGTTGAATCTTGTTGATTTAGATAGATGTGGCATGTTGTCAACTGACAACATTGCTCATCCGGGATCGGAATGGCCATCCATTTGGGAGATAGGACTTGTACGTGAAGAGTTGTCCCATGACATTCGAACCAAGGCCTCTTCCAACAAAGGCTAGAGTCACCAGGGGTTAACCAGCTTTACATAGATTGGTTCCCATAGAGTCCATGCATCAGGAGACACTTCCACATTGCAGCAGATATTCTAGCATTTTTGGAGAAATGAAACTTCATAACTGAAGAGGTAGAATCAAACTTGACAAATGAACCTAGTGTTCTGGCTCCTCGAACTAAACCGGTACGAGTTTGTCTTCTGTCTAGTTGTAATTATTGTAGCCATCTAAATTATTAGGATATGGTAGTCATCTCCAGAATGCCATGCCAGATCAGTGACCGGAATATCCTATGAGAAACTTATGTGCACACAACCGATGACTTATCCCTATTAACAAGGAAACAGAGACTTCCACTCTCCAGAGCTCAGGCAACCTTTTATTATGCAGAATGATAGTATTTGACACTCACTGAATTGGTTTAAGATATTCAAATTTGTTATTCTGTAGGCTGAATAGAATCAAATGATTTGTATACATATTACTGAGAAAATAAGAAATCAGTTCTAGAATTTAAACTGCATATCTGCTGTGTATCCAAGCTCATTCAGATGAGCAGCCATTGCCTTGTTCATGCCTGATGGTCCACACCTTAGGACCTGTACAAAAATTTATGATCATATGGAATGAATTCTGCAGTGCTATCAGAATATCTGTATACAGTTGAAAACTGACCTGAATGTCAGAAGCTGGACCTGGGCAATAGCTTCTTATCATATCCTTGGTTATTCGACCAACACCACCGTTCCATCCCTCAGCCGGTGGCTGCAGCCCGTCAAGTTTGCAGGATTAGTAATATGGTGGATTGATTGATGCATAGGAAGTCACAAAATGGAGATTTTTTAGCAAGTGACCTACCTGGCTCAGCACATAGTACACATTGAAACGGCTGGGGAATTTCCTAGCAAAATCATCCATTTCTTCCTACAGAGCCCACAACAAAAATTGCAGAGTCGAAAGGAAATATACGGTTCTGGGAAATACACGATGATATACGCTTGCAAAAAGAAGTGGAATTACCTTCAGCAGGATGTCCTGAAATGTTGTGTTGGCATAGATCAAGGATAGATTTGTTTTGTCTTTCGGGTTCTCTAATATGGCCCGAGTCACCTGCAACATCGAACGAAAGAAAGGAGTTCAAGGGATGAACAAAAGAAAGCTCAACTTTATGATCAGACTTAAATAAAAGTATCAACAGCTGCTTGAACATGGACCTGGAACATAGGGGTAATGCCAGATCCTCCAGCAATCATCCCAAAAGCTCTAACTTGGCTCGGTTTGTAGACGAAACGACCCTGTGATAGTGTAAAGTAATTCTCTTAGGAGGAGTGATTCCATTTGTAGGCATATCCATTCATGAAAATGTGTAGACGGGACTACTGACTCACCGTAGGTCCCTTCACTGCCAGAGAGTCGCCTTCGTGCATTTCCCTGAAATGGTGAGACATCCTTCCATGTGGGTACATCTGAGTCCATTAGCAAAGTACAGAACTCTTCAGGAAACGATTCAAAGAGGGGACAAAATGGTTTTCTTACTGGTTTTCAAGAAACATACTTTCACTACAAGTTCAAAGTGGCCGAAATCTGAATCCAGAGTGATTGGGGTGTATGGCTTAGTAACTTCTTGACCTTCAGCATCCTTTCCCCTGGTTCACAGTGGCAGAAGTAGTATATGTTCAATACACGCTAAAAGAACGACATGAATATACAGGGATATCACAAGCTTTCCACCTGCAAACGATGTGATTCCCAACAGGAAGACCCAGGACGGATTTTGAGGTAGGAAGAGCAAACCGGAATCTGGCAACATTGTGGCTCACTGCTGTTTTCCTAACCAGCTTGAACTCCTGGAATTTCTCAGGGTCTATGCACCCTGGGAGTGGGAGACACAAAACAGCATGGCAATTAGTAAGCAAGCATCAGCTTGATGAACTATAAACAGTAGAAAATTTTGATGGAAGAAGGATCAGAATCAACACTTTTGGGTTTTGTTTTGCTGTAATGGTAGGCAAGAGCAATGGAGACGGAGATGATGGTGACAAGCACACCCAAAAGCTCTACATGGGGGATCGAAGAAGACACATCCTTCATGGCAAATCCAGAGGCCATCATCATGATTTTCTCCATGCTTGATAAAAAAGAAAGATAACAGAATATAAAATGGATGGATTTTTTGCTCCATCGTTCGCTCAGTTTATATTGATAAGAATCACACTTTTGTGCTTTGCTTTTGCTTCATGTTCTGATCTTGCAATAATCCTTTCCCTCTTTCCTGAGTTAAGAATCTAAAAGGGCCATCCACACTCGTATATGGGATTGGCATTGTATTTGAGATTAAATATATTGTTTTAATTACACTCAAATACACGATCAAACGTTTATGAAAAACAATATATTTCTTAAATTACATCGACTCGAATACACTCGACAAAACCATCAGTACATAGTCTGAATGTGGAGTAAAGGCATCATGAAAGAAAGCAAGGTTGTATAATTTGTTTTAAACGACGCCCCATTTATTCGAAAGAGCCTCACAGATCCTTGCGATACACCACGCAGCGCTCAGCGGGTACCCAGAAACTGCAGGACAACAGTACACACGGCATTATGTTTGAGGGTGGCTACAGAATCGAATTTGTCATCTGCTAGAAAGAAAGAAAGAAAGAAAGAAAGAAAGAAACCACATACTGGCTATGAAATCTTCAATGTAATCACAGTCGATTTTCCCATGAGACATAGCACCAACCTGAAATATATTTATCACAAACTCAGTTGCAGAACGTAAAGAGAGGAAAACAAAAGATAAAGCTTCCTTTTCTTGGGCATCGTATTCATACCACAAACACAAGATCAGCATCATTGCTCACTGTCTCCACATACTTGCTCATTTCCACCAACTTATCCGAGCTGTAAGAAAACCCTGATTCAAGAAGGCAACAAGTACTCTTTAATCTTCTTTCGTGAAGCAGTTGACAAGTTAAACAAACACTCAGAGAAGCTCAAACTCACCTATTTTGCGGGAGCTGACTGGAAGGTACTGGGTTACTGGATTCTTTATCACACGCAAAAGCTTCTCCCTTTTGCCTGCAGCAGATATACTGAGCTTCTGAAGCAGTTGCACTGCACACAACAGAGGGCATCAGGCATCCATCGTCAATACAGGGGGGTAAGGCAAAGGAAATAAAGAGGATAGTTCCAGGATGCCAGAGCAATAGGTCAATGAGTTGTGTTGCACTTACACATAATGCCAGCAAAACGCTTGTACGTCCTTGGTATACGCACATTTGGTTTGACTTCGAAAAGAACACCTTTATCAGTTTTCACATATACAGCTCGCAACCTCCCAGCCTTGTTCAGCGGGCTATCTAAGATTGACAGGAGAGCCTGTTTCAAACACAGAGGCGTTGCATTAGTGCACAAATAGAAACAATTAGCGTCTGTTTACATACAAGCACAGCATTTTCTTACGGCTAGTTAATGGAACAACACATTTTAACTTCCCATCATAGACATAGTTCAATCCCTTGAATGATTGTTTCTATAGAGAACTAAGCTAGTGATACTATTGTCTTCAAACACATTCTACAACGGCAACTTTTCACAACACTTACGCGAAATGGCAGCCAAAATGCAGTTACCTGATAAACAATGTCCGGCCTGTAATCAGCAGGATTTTTGTTATTTTTCTTGAGAAAATTGGCATGGTCATCCGAATTCAATATCTGGTAAGTCTGCACCAGAACAGACAACACTCATAAGTGAGTCTTACAAGAAAGTAAACCTAAAAACTGAACTCTTTAAAGATTGGAACATGTTAACCTTCCAAGGTTCATCATAATGAATAAACTAAGAACTTCAATGATCAAACTACGGCAATGAATGCGATGGATGAACATCAGGGGAAGCATTTCAACCTCAAGTCAACAAGAGAAAAACACCTTACCTTACCAACTTTGGCAACTTCCAAAGAAGCCCGCTCCAGCACGAAAATGACCCCAGGTTTTTTGGTCTGTTGATCAATCTGAACGATTGGGATGCCAGCCATTTCGTCAGCTGCAGTCCCAGCTTCCTTCTCCACCATTTCCTTCTCATCCTCCTCCTCTACAGCAGCTTCCTTCGCCGTGGGCTCTGCGACTTCTTCACCTTCTTCTTCATCTCTGTCATATTTCTCTTTCCTCTTCCTCTTCTTCCCCTTCACCCCAAACGGCCTCACCATATTTTTGGTTCAGTAGCTCAGCAAATTAACCTTCACCCAATAAAAAAGGGAACATCTTGAGAGGACAGTACGAAATAAAGGAGCTAAATTTCAGAGCAGAAAGCAGCCATAGGACCAATTCATTGCAACCAAGAAGCGGAAATAGAGCTCAATATCAGTATAAATGAAACGAAACGAAGTAGACGATGAAATCGGGAGGCTACCGGAATGAGAAAGCCGTTAAACCCAGAGAGCAGAGCGGTAAAGGTTTAAGGCGAAGTTGCAGAATTGAGTCGAGGAGACGGAGATGAGATGACGATCTAGGGCAGGGGTTTGAGCCTAGATCGGAGTTGGGCGGGCTTGCTATGATTTCTTCAGCCCATCGAGCCCAATTTTGGGGAATTGTTGATTGGGCTGGCCGAGCAGCCCAACACTGCGGAGCAGATCTCATTCCTGAATCCTGAAGGAAGCCATTTCGTTTTCCTTTCTGGTTGTTGGAGTAAATGGCAAGGTTGATCATTGGATTGCTAAATAAGTTCATTGATTACTAAAATTTTTATTTCATTTTGTCGCTAAATATAGTAAAACATGTCATATTTGGTCACTCTCCATTAGTCTTCATTTGTCTCCATTGACGAAGTTTGTTATTTGTTGTTGTGACAGAAGGAATCACATGGTCAGCCTAATTTAATCTGTAAATGGTGAAACCCGACCCACCACATCACTAAGACATGCCATGTAAGCTTGTCCAACTCAACTGACTGACCAAACCTGACCCGCTCAAAATAAATACCTAAACTGTCATACAAATCCATTGAAATTGCCATTGTCGATCGTGTAGTGCTTCCTTCCGAGTTTCTTCCCCATTTCATTTCGTTACATTCTGTCTTCTTGTCCTGCATTTTGTTATCACTCGTGTGCTTCTTCCTCGCTCTCGGACCTCGGTCACTTGATAGTATTGTGCCTCTTGACCTTTGGATCATGTCTCATGTCATGCGTGGAGTTCTCATGGATTTCTCTTACTTGCTCTTCAACTTGTTTCTCACTTATGGCAACTCCAGTTTCCCTGATCCCTTGATTGCCAAGGAATCACACTTCGCTTACAACACACCAACGAAAGTTTGAGTATTCTGTTCCTCGACGATCGACTACGACAACAAAATCAGATGGGTTCACATGGAAGTTTTTCAAAGCTTTCTGAGATATTGTTGGTAGCTCGGTGATTGAAGCAGTATGATCTTTCGTTGGCACAAGCAAACTGCTCAAGATCTTCAATCATACTTGATTGACCTAAATACCCAAAGTGGATAATGTGGAGACAATGAAGCAGCTACGCCCAATCAATTTATGCCAGTTTATGTACAAAATAATTACCAAAATCATGACGGAAAGACTTGCTGCCTTCCTATCCCATATAGTTTCAGAGGTTCAAAATGCATTTATCCGTGAAAGACAAATAGTTGAGAATATTCTCCTATGGCATGAGCTAATGCACTACTTGAAAATCAAAACTCGCGGTAAGAAAGGGTATATGGCTTTAAAGGTTGACATGGAAAAGGCCTACGATAGAGTCGAATGACCCTTTCTGCTAGCAGTTTTGGAAAAAATGGGTTTTTAGCTCTGTTTGGAGGGTGATCCCCTCTCTCCTCTCCTATTCGTGATATGCACAAAAGGATTTGCGGTGCTCCTTCGCAAGGCTATTTCGGAAGGAAAATTTGAAGGTGTGAAAGTTATCCTCGTGCCCCCCGAATCTTGCATTTGTTCTTTGCAGATGATTCTTATTATTACTTAGAGTTTATCTTCATGAATGTGAAAATTTAAGCAAGGGTTTGAATGACTATGAGGATTTTAGTGGCGAAAGAGTTAATTTAGATAAATCGGCAGTGTGTTTTAGTAAGAACATTACTACGCCGGACCAAGAATTCTTGGCTTTGGTCATAGATGTGGGGGCAGTAGGTGTTCACGACAAATATCTGGGATTACCTACGCTAATATCCATATATAGAATGGCTATGTTTCGTTATCTAGAAGATAAACTGCTGGAAAGATTACAGGGGTGGAAACAATGAACTTTATCGTGGGCGGCTAAAGAGACCATGATTAAATCAGTTGTGCTAGCTCTGCCTTTGCATATAATGTCATGTTTTAAGCCGCCTCTTTCTCTTTGCCTTCTTTTGGAATTTGGATAAACATGTTGCCAGATTCTGGTGGGGTGTTGAGGAGGGCCAGTCTAGGATCCGGTGGATGTCCTGGCCTAATATGTGTCGGAGCAAGCATGACGGGGGTATGAGCTTTCGTCGGTTTGAGCATTTTAATCGGACTCTCTTGGCCAAAATTAGATGGTGAATTCTGGATGAACCCTGGTCCCTCCTGCCCCAGGTTTATAAGGGTAAGTATTTTCCTAGTGGGAACTTCCTTACTGCTCAGGCTCGCTCTCGCCCATCTTGGGGATGATAGAGTATTCTCTATGGTCGTCGGCTAATAGATATGGGCTTAAAGTGACAAATTGGGGATGACTAGACTGCTTCTCTACTTCATTTTAACTGGGTTTCTCAATTACATCCCGACCCCCCCCCCATTGTATAATCCTCGGGTGCTGCCTCTTGGGGGGACCCACCTGTCGTTGTGGTTATATGTTAGAGAGAAGGTCGGTGTTGTGACATTAAACTTAGCCAGTGATTTGATCCAGCTACCTGTTGGGCCACCAAAGATATCCCTCTTCCTCGGCAGACTGTTCCAGATAAATTAATTTGGCATGCCACGCTTGACGAGGTTTATTCTGTTAAATCGGCTTACCATTTTTTAGGGTAAACAGTTCGGGATCCCAGCTTTATTGAGGCAATTTCACCAACAATATGAGGAATGGAAAAGTTTGTCGGTGGACCGAGTTCTCCATTCTTCCACCCCCCGGTACAACATGTGAGTCTTGTGGGCCTCACTTTGCTGTCTGTATGTGGGATGAGGCAGTAAGGAGTGGGTCTCATTCGGCAACTGGGATGGTGATTATGAACCAAGCTCGAGAGATCTTTTTGGTTACTGGGGTGTAGTTCCCTTTCATTGATGATCCTATGGTGGTTGAATTAATTGTGCTTCGTGAGGCTATCTTATGGTGTCTGGCTCATGGTTTCACGGAGATAAGGTTTGAAGGTGATGCCAAAGGGGTAATCGTTAAGATCAATCGGGCAGATACCAGAGACAAACGGATGAGAGCGGTTATTGAAGAAATTCTGCAGTACTTTGTTGTCCATAATGGGTTTAGTGTGCGATTTGTAGGTCGACGTACCAATAGGGTAGCCTATTTGGTGGCTCGACAGATCATTTCTTTGTACTCGACTATGGGTCGTTTCTTTGATTTTCAGGTTTAGTTGAACTCCAGGATATAATTACCTATTTTTTGAATCAATATATGATTATCTTTTGATGAAAAAAATCTATGATAATTTAGCTCAATTCCCATACTTTTTTTTCATAGCCAAATATGAAAATTTGACAATTTCCCCACCAATTTTTTTTTTTTTTACAATTACTACAGCCAAACGAGAAACGACGCGTTAGTGTTTCTAGTTTTTGTGCTGGCCTGTTGGGCTTGCCTTATTTGAAGCCCGTAAGGCTAAAGGAATTCGTAAGACGAAAAGCAAACCATTTGCTTGCTCGTCTTCCTCTTCCTGCCTCCATCGCTCTCCGCTTTCTTCCCTCTTTTCCCTTTTTCTGTTAAATCCCTAATTTTCCATATCGATCCCCTTTACAGGTTTATCTCCTCTCTTCTACACATTCTCCTTGACATTCTGTGCCACAATTAGCCCTTTTGTTTCCTGCAACTTGGAGCTCCAAGACTAGCCGGGGTATTCTTTTTGGCTGCCGGCCACCTGATTTCTTTTGCGGGGCTGTTTTTGGCCTCTGGGTTTTACTTTTCTCCGGCAGCCTTCATTTCCTGCCTGTTTGTATTGGAATCTGCTACATGGGTTCGGGTCAAATATTGTGTTTTTGGTCCAATTATTATCTGGGTGTTTCTTAAACCCTTCTTCCTTTCAGCTGGATGTGCTTATCAATAGCCATTTGATCTTTTCTCCAGATCATGCCCTATGAGTCCTCACTTGATTCTGGGATTCATCAGTCCTTCCAGTTGGTCCTGATCCGCCGAGAAAAAAAGATCCAACTTTTCGATAAACCCCTCAGCTGGTTTTGATTACGATGGATTCGCCTTCCCCGATCACGTTCGACAGCTCCCTGAACAATGAAATCACTCTGAGTTCCAACTCGAGGAGAAACGCTTCTTCCCAACATTCCCGGGCTTCTCGAGCGGGTACCACTAGGGAAGTTGCTTTCAGTGATTTAGGGGCTAAGCCTGTGTTGTATGGATCCAGGAGGGCGGATCCAGAGGTGTATAGTATGTCTCAGAAAGAGATTAATGAAGAAGATGCTAGGTTTGTCTATATTAACGATTCTGTAAGCACGAATGATAAATTCGAGTTTGCTAGGAACTCCATTAGGACTGCAAAGTACTCTGTTATTTCTTTCTTGCCTAGAAATTTGTTTGAACAGTTCCATAGAGTTGCATACATTTATTTCCTCATTATAGCTATCCTGAATCAGTTTCCCCAGCTCGCCGTTTTTGGGCGGGGAGCTTCCATTTTGCCACTTGCTTTTGTGCTAGTAGTTACAGCAGTTAAGGATGCTTATGAGGATTGGAGAAGGCATAGGGCAGATAAGATTGAGAACAATAGATTGGCGTGGGTTTTGGTGGATGGTCATTTCCAACAAAAGAGATGGAAGGATATTCAGGTTGGTGAAATAATCAAGGTGGAAGCTAATGATACTCTTCCTTGTGATATGGTCTTGCTCTCCACCAGTGACCCTACTGGGGTTGCTTATGTGCAGACCATCAACTTGGATGGAGAGTCAAATTTGAAGACACGATATGCAAAGCAAGAGACCCTCTCAAAGAATCCCGAGAATGGAACGTTTACTGGGTTGATCAAGTGTGAAAAGCCTAATAGGAATATCTATGGATTCCATGGAAACATGGAGATTGATGGGAAGCGCCTGTCACTTGGACCTTCCAATATTATCCTTCGGGGCTGTGACCTGAAGAATACAGCTTCAATTCTTGGGGTTGCTGTGTATTGTGGAGCTGAGACCAAAGCTATGCTGAATAGCTCAGGAGCCCCTTCGAAGAGAAGCAGGCTTGAGACTCGCATGAACTCAGAAATCATCATACTCTCTCTTTTTCTTGTTGCCTTGTGTACAATTGTATCTGCATGTGCTGCTGTATGGTTGAGGCGGCACAGAGATGAGTTAGACACCATGCCCTTTTATAGGAGAAAGGATTACAATGAAGATGAGCCAGAGAACTATAATTATTATGGATGGGGAATGGAGATATTCTTCACATTCTTGATGGCAGTAATTGTGTTCCAGATCATGATTCCTATTTCTTTGTACATCTCTATGGAGCTTGTTCGGGTTGGTCAGGCTTATTTCATGATCCGAGATGCCCAGATGTATGATGAGGCATCAAATTCAAGATTTCAGTGCCGGGCTTTGAATATAAATGAGGATTTAGGGCAGATAAAGTATGTGTTCTCAGACAAAACTGGGACACTCACAGAGAACAAGATGGAGTTCCAGTGTGCAAGCATATGGGGAGTGGATTACAGTGGTAGGAACGCTACCTCAGGCGATGAACAAGAAGGACACTCTGTTCAAGGTTATTTTTTTTTATTGCTGCTAGTATTCTTTAATAATCTATTCCCAGTATGGCCTCCCTGTCTTTCTTATATGTCTCATTTCCTTGTATTCTCTTGTTGTGATGCAGTTGGTGGGGCAACTGTGAGTCCAAAGATGAGGGTGAAAGTTGATCCTAAGCTTCTACAAGTGTTAAGAGGTGGAAAGACGTCAGAGGATTTTAAACATATCCGTGACTTTTTCCTTGCATTAGCAGCTTGTAATACAATTGTGCCTCTCATTCTTGACACATCTGATCCCAATGTTAAGTTGATGGATTACCAAGGTGAATCTCCTGATGAACAAGCTCTGGCTTATGCTGCTGCTGCATATGGTTTTATGCTTATAGAACGTACTTCCGGCCATATAGTTATTGATGTTCTGGGTGAAAGGCAAAGGTACTCTTTTCTTTTTCTTGATTTAATTGATGTCTCCTACTTTGTTTTCCCCTTAACTCTGCTCAAGTATATTCTCCCATGCTATCATCACAATGTTTTCTCTTTCACCAATCTTTCTATCTTCACTATGTCATGATGACACACAATGCCAGCCTGGTTTAGACGAAGTGAAAATATTGCTTTGCATATTCTAATCACATTAACTGTTACATTGAACATGGCATTTGGTACTTGAATCTTTCTATCTTTGTTTACTGTTGTTTCCCCAGTCCTCTTATTGCTCATTACCGTTATTGCAGGTTCATTGTTTTGGGTTTGCATGAGTTTGACAGTGATAGGAAGAGGATGTCTGTCATATTAGGCTTCCCTGACAAGTCTGTCAAAATCTTTGTAAAGGGTGCTGATACATCCATGTTTACTGTTATTGACAAAGCTTCAAGCATGGGCATAATCCGTGCTACTGAAGGCCATCTTCACTCTTACTCCTCCCTTGGCCTGAGAACACTTGTCGTTGGGATGCGTGAATTGAGTGATTCAGAATTTGAGCTGTGGCATTCTTCTTTTGAGGCTGCTAGTACTGCTTTGACTGGCCGCACTGCTTTGCTTCGGAAGGTTGCCACAAATGTTGAAAACCATCTAAGTTTGCTGGGTGCTTCTTCTATTGAAGACAAACTTCAAGAAGGTGTTCCGGAAGCTATTGAAGCACTGAGGACTGCAGCAATTAAAGTCTGGGTTTTGACGGGGGATAAACAAGAAACTGCCATATCGATTGGCTATTCTTCAAAGCTCTTGACGAACAAAATGACGCAGTTTGTTGTCAACAGCAACTCCAAGGAGTCATGTAGAAAGAGTTTATCAGATGCCTTGCTTGTATGTAAGAAGCTCAGCAATGTGTCCGGGACACCTGATAATGAAGAGATTTCTGCATCTTCTGGAAGTTTGGTTGCTTTGATTATTGATGGAACCAGCCTTGTTTATATCCTTGATAGTGAACTCGAAGAACAGGTTTTGACATTTAATTCACATCAATCTTTCCCTGCTCAACAATCTATTTGTTCCTTCTTAACCTTGGCTAATTTAGTTATTTGTTTGCTTCAGCTCTTTGAACTCTCCATCAAATGTTCTGTGGTGCTTTGTTGTCGGGTGGCTCCATTGCAAAAAGCTGGAATTGTTGCCCTAGTGAAGAATAGGACAGCTGACATGACCCTTTCCATTGGGGATGGTGAGTCTTCACTAAAATGCTTTCAGAAGGGAATACTTTGCGGCATATATGTTATTGGCCTCATTGCTTATTTGAGCTAACATGGGAAGTTGTTGGTGGGTTTTAACAGGTGCAAATGATGTTTCAATGATCCAAATGGCTGATGTAGGAGTTGGAATCAGTGGGCAGGAGGGTCGGCAAGCAGTAATGGCATCTGATTTTGCCATGGGGCAGTTTAGATTCTTAGTTCCACTTTTGCTGGTCCACGGACATTGGAATTACCAGCGAATGGGTTATATGATAATTTACAACTTCTACAGGAATGCGATTTTTGTTCTCGTCTTGTTTTGGTAAGTCAAATGTCCGAGAAAGGTTCTGTTGTTTTCTTCGTAGAGACTTAGTTTAGTTGTTTGAACTTGATGAGTTATTTATGATGGCTGGCCTCAGCATTTACCTTTCTCTAAAATGAAAACCCCCTGCGTAATTGGTTCAGGTTCATTTATAAACAGTATAAAAGTTTGTGCTTTTTAAGCACCTTTATGCTGTAGCTGCTATCTACTTTACTAATGGTATGCGGATAGTCCTGCTGAATTGGTCATCGTATATAGCAGGTGCCGAATGAATGGCCAAATATGCTCAGTTGTCAAAGCTTGAACTGAATATTTAAGAATATCATGTATAGTGCTCGTATTAAAATTGGACTGCTGAATAAGGTTTGCCTCTGATCGCGTATGTCACTGAAATTCTTGTATGCAGGTATGTGCTCTTCACTGCTTTCACTTTGACGACAGCTATTAACGAGTGGAACAGTGTGCTATATTCAGTATTTTACACAGCAGTGCCAACTGTCATTGTTGGTATTCTTGACAAGGACTTGAGCCGGAAAACCCTACTCAAGTATCCTCAGCTATATGGAGCTGGGCAAAGACGAGAAAATTACAACTCAAAGTTGTTCTGGCTGACGATGATGGACACTCTGTGGCAAAGCGTGGTCATTTTCTTCGGTCCTTTCTTTGCTTATCGGATTAGCACCATTGATGTAGCAAGTATAGGGGATCTCTGGACACTGGCAGTCGTCATTGTGGTCAATCTTCATCTGGCAATGGACATCACCCGGTGGAATTGGCTCATGCATGCAGCAATATGGGGATCCATTTTGGCAACTTTCATCTCTATAATGACCATTGATGCCATGCCTAATTTACCTGGTTACTGGTAACTACACCTTCCATCATTTTATGGTTTAATGCATATATGTTCAACCTCATGCTATTTATATGATCTCCATTTGGATCCATAGAAACTGATGGTGCAAGCTCGTTCCTAACTTGCAGGGCCATTTTTGTATATGCAAAGACTAGATTGTTCTGGCTTTGCCTGCTTGGTGTGGTTGTAGCCGCACTAATTCCACGCTTTGTTGTAAAAATACTGCATCAATACTGCTCACCTTGTGACATCCAAATTGCAAAGGAGGCGGAGAAGTTCAAACCGTTAAGTGGAGGTGTTGGATCTGTAGAAGTAGAAATGAGTGCCATCTTGGGTCCTCCAAGGAGATGATGACGACGACATGGTAATGTATCATTCCCCTTCAGATGATTCTCCTGTATCTGCGTTTTTTTGTGTTAAAACAAACTCTCTTGTCCTCTCTCTCCCCGCCTCTTTCTCCCTCCTTCCTCTGTCTCTTCCCATACCACCAGCCAACAATTAGCAAAGGCGACAACCAGAAGGGTTCCATCGCCGGCGAGCAACTTCCCTTTCGTAAGACCACTACCCGTTGATCGATCCCGGGTGTTGGCCGCGGAGTTAACCATTCCTCGTCGTTGCTACCGCTCTCCTCTCTACTCGCGAAAGACCAGCTGCTAGTAGTAGTGTTACTTTTTGTTTAGTGTTATCGGTCTAGTGGTAGTGTTATCCGTCTAGCGATATAATTATCAGCCAGTCTAGTGGTAGTGTTATCAGTCTAGTGGTAGTGATACTTTTTTAGTCTAGTGGTTTATTCAACAGTGATAATTTTTTTCAGAGTGATACATTTTTTTTAATGCACTGGTACTTTTTTTGCTAGGTGGCCGGAGGGAGCCCATCGGAGGGAGAGATAGGAAAAAGGGAAAGTGAGAGATAGAGAGAAAAAATTGTAATTAATGTATAATTGAAATTAAAAACAATAATGTAATTAATATGAGTTTTAAATTCTCAAAAATTCAATTAATACGAAAAATTATAAATTCCTCCAGAGGATTCACATTGTTGGCTATCCAAAGGATAGGTGTTCATACTCCATTTTTAGGTGTTACATACTGAAAATTTTCTTCATTGCTGTATCTCCCCACTTGTCTATTGTAAATTAGTGTTATTTACAGAGGAGGAATTAACAGAGTTATATACCACGAAAAATATTTCATTTCTACTTATAGTGTTGTACTATTTTCTAGTGAGGTTTGCTTTGATATGCTTTGATTGATACAACGATCTCAGTGGCGAGCCATGCTGGTTCGGTCTATCGTAGCAACCACTTCAGTCTCAGGATCTTAGTTCTTTCTACAGACAACTGTTTGTTAAAGCTTGAGAATTGCTGAATTTCTACTCCTGGTTTTACTTGAACTGGAAGAAAATGTGATTGCTTGGTTATCAAGTTATATAATATCCATTCACTCCTCATGATTAACCTACCATCTCCCTCAACTTGTTCTAGTTTCTATATTCTAGGAAGCATAACTAGATCTTGAATAAGAATATATTTTAACATTTACAATCCCTGTGCTTGCTCCTGGAAGTGGAACCATACTTGGTTACTCTTGCGAGGAAGCAGAGGCGGCTGAATCTTGTTGAATCTGGAGGCAGCAGTCACCCTTCCATGATTCTTGAACTTGTGCTGCAAACTGCAAGTTCCAGAGCACATCTCCAATGGAAGGTCTCATTGAGAGCTCGTCGGAGAGGCATCTTGTGCATAGCTCTACCATTGTTCTCAACGACTCGTTTGAGCATTCTTTCTGAACTTCCGGATCAACAATACTCCTGTGAGCTGTGTCGTCAGCTGCTGTGCTAACCTACACCATTCATGGACCACCATGGTCGATTAGTTTTTTAATGGAATTCATGAGGCTAGAAATTGCTCCTGGATTAAAAACCTATACTGACCAGGTCTTTTAAGGCTGTAACTTCATTCCTGTACATGATGGGCCTTCCAACTATTATTTCAAGTAAGATCACTCCCAGGTCTTCAACATCTTTACTGTCGCCATCTTCTTGTCTGTAGTAGTAAGAGTCGGAAATCATATGCACTGAACCCGAAATCGAAATCCTAAGAACATTAACAGTAAATCCGAATGGTAGCTGGAGAAGTAACTCCTACCCACCTGTCCTGTAACTTCTGCTTTTGTCCTGGTGAAAAAGCTGCAGCAGCAACCTGGAAATCGCTCATACTGAAAACATAAGCCTGAGAATTTTGAATGTATCTTCTGAAACTGAAAACGAAGAACACTGGTGCGTTGAAAACTCACTGTTCCTTTCCTCCCATCAAATGGTGGCAGGTTGAAGCTACTGATTTTGACATGATTATCGTGATCCAGCAGAACATCTGTGATTTTCAGATTGAATGAAAATATTCCAGGCACAATTCCTGTGTGTAGGAACTGAACTCCTTTGGCAACTCCAATAGCTGCCCCTATCCGTTGCACCCATGTCAGCTTCTTCTCTGGAGATCCTGCGATACTAAAAACTAAGAAATATGATCCGAGTTACCTTGAAACTAAGAAAATTATACAGAGCTGGGTGGAGTCAACGTTTTTACCAGAGATGTGGTCTCTTAGAGATCCATTATGAACAAACTCAAATATCAGAAACATCCTGCTGATGCTGGGAGAATCGTCCTGGCAACAATCTAAGCAGTGGCCAAGGGCACTAACCAAATTGCTGTGTCTAAGCTTGGAGGCCAACTCAATCTGCTGGGTAAATGTCTGCTGCTGGTTTTGCTTCTTAGTCTGTGTCAAACACTTGATAGTAATATCATTTCCGTCGGCGAGCTTTCCTCTGTAAACCTGGCTTTGTGTGTCTTCAATTAGTAAACTCGGGGCATTGAAGTTGTTCGTTGCCTCCTTAAGCTCCTCCAAGGCAAAGGATCGGTAGGCTGAAAGACCGGCTCCCAGCTTCATTGTCTGTGATATGTACCCTGCAAACGACAACCCATGGATGATTGATTAATGGCTGCCTATTCTTCCGACACCACTTGGACCAAAAGGAGGGGACAGAAAGATAGAAGCTTAGGGATCTTACGTGCATCAGAAAGAAGCTTTACTGTGTTCACAGTCGAAACATTCTCCATGATGAGCCTTGTTTGGGCCACTTTTTCAGCATTCTTATGATTAGCCTTCCTCACAAACAGGAAAATCAGGCTGATGATGGTAATCCCTCCAATAGTTCCTCCCATGGCACCTGATGCAACAACCACCACCTTGCCACCAACTTTGGTTTGCTTCACCTTATCCTGGGGGTAGACTTTCACTGCGAGGGCTTCATTGTGACATATATATGATGGATTCTGGTGTTGGTCTTTGCTTGAAAAGCAGTTGTCAGCATACATCACAACTCTGGCACTAGAACCAACAGCTTTCAGGCAAGCAGGGAGTTCACCACTCAAACGATTCGAGGACAAGTCCACATGACTGAGCGGTCCATAGCAAGACATGTTCTGAGAGAGCATCCCTGTGATTTTGTTGTTGGAAACATCCAGATAGCTGATTGAAGGCAGTGAGAGCAACAATGGTGCCGAGATTGGCCCTTCAAACCCATTGAAGGAAATGTCCAGCTTCTGAAGCTGGTTGGATGAGGCCAGAAACTCTGCAGGAATGCCAGACTGAAAGCTGTTGTTTCTAAGGACAAGACTGACCAACCTGTTGGAAATGTTAGGGAACTGAGGTCCAAGGCTGTTGCTTCCCAAGTCAAGAACTTGAAGGTTCGTCAGGTTGTGAAGGTCAGGAACTCCACCAGACAAGCGGTTGTTTGTCAGCGAGAGAATCCTAAGATTCTGAAGTGTTGCCATTGTGTCTGGGAGTAAGCCATCAAAAGAGTTGTTGTTCAGGCTTAAGACAGCCAGAGCTGTGAGTGAAGTGAGCCACCCAGGAATTGCACCAGTGAAGTGATTGTGGTCAAGGATGAGCGTCTGCAGATTCTTGAGAGATGAGAGTTCCAATGGCAGGACACCAGAGAGGGAGTTTGAGCTGAGGTTGAGTATCTCAAGTGATGCGAGCTGGCCAATGGTTGGAGGGAGAGGGCCCCAGAGACCAAGAGAGACCATGGACAAGACCTTCAATGTGGAGATTCCAGCAAGGGAGTCAAAGAAAGAAGAACTTGAGAAATCTTGTGGCAGTAACAACGGAGAAGCAGCACCACCATTACCACCCTTGTTGCTAATATTGCCAATGAAGTGGAGCTGGGTAATGTTGCCTTCATAGCACTGTAGGATGAGAGCTGATGGGGAGGTTGGGTCACTTGTGCAGACATCTGTGGCATTAGCGGTGGATAGGGAGGAAGGGTAGTAGTTGAGAAGCTGCTGGATTGTGAGGAGGGATTGGAGCTGAGAGGGCTGGAGCTGGAGTTGTGATGATGAATGTGGGAGAAGACATAGAGAAGAAACAATTATCATTACCAACAGTAGCAGATCATGGGATGGGTTCAGAAGTGCAGGGTTTAACCTTTTCCCCATCACTACTTCTTCTCTTCTCTTGTGCAGCAGCTTGTTCCCCCCAAGATTGTGGTTCTGCTGATTAGGTACTTCACTTCTCACTCTCAGTTAATCTTCAACATCATCATCATCATCATCATCATCATCTCAAATGCCTTGTAAATACTGGAAAAAGTGGGATTGCTGCTTTAGGCAAAAAGTTGGCAGTGACTGCTGAAAGAGAGGTTTGGGCAAAATGAAGCTTTCAATGACAGGCAGAAGGCTTTTGGGAAGGTCCTGAAATGGGTTGTGAGGTTAAGCCACTTTCTTAGCACCACAAGCCTTGGTCCGCAGAAAAGAAAGTATCTTTTCATATGAACATGATGGTGCTTTCGATTTCATACATACACCCCATACCACCTTTTTGACTTGGAGTGAACTGAGAATTAAATACTTTTGGTTTTGCTTACTAGCTAGCTAGCTAGACCAACCCTTTGAAATCAAAATCTATGTTGTCGCCTAATGGTGAAAAGTGGAAGAGGAGGAGGAGGAGGCAAGCAAGACAAGTGAAGCCGTAACACGTGAACACGACTAGACGTTGCCTCTGGACTGGAATGTCACTTGCTTCTTTTTTTTTTCCTTTCGCTTGCATGGTAGATGTGGCCTGTATCTGTCTGTCGCGGTTTCATCCTCAAGGGCCCATCATAGCAGTAATCAATGAAAATAAATGGAAAGTATTGGAAATTGTTGTTGTCCTCACATCTTCTCCAGGATACAAGCATTTGAGAGTTGGATTTGGTAAATGAATGCATTTCATTTCATGTACTGTTCATTCATTCTTGCCCGTGAATCTGTACTTGATTCTGCAGTTTGGACGGACGTCCACACATGTTTCCACCTGCTGCTTCATTATAAAATCCAGCAGGTGACAGAATTTCCCTTTGGTATGTATTCATAACACTTACATTGCTCTCACATAAACAGATTCAACGGCCAAGCCCTTTTCTTCTTCCTCTGCAGGTTTTTGTTCCTGGTCTCTGTTGAGTCTTCCATTGATTAAGTTGCAACCACTAGCTTTGCTTTCCCCAGCTGAGCTGATAGTTTAATTCTGCTGTACATGTGGACACGCTGTGGATTTGTGCTGCTAGTTTTCTTTTCGTATGTTTCCTGTCTGTATATCTGCAAAATGGAATGGGGAAATGCTAGAAGAGAGAAAGAGGAAATGAAACCAGTAAAGCGAATGGGAAAGAAAGATTGATAGTCTCAGGTCGGTTTGGACTTTGGTCTGGTCTGTCTTTTTATCAATTATCAAACAACACATGGAAGCATTGGGAGGAGCGCATACATAAAGGTGTTATTATCATACTTGGTGCTGCTGCTGTATTAATAATGGTCCAGGAGGAGTAATAAATAGCAGCAATTGCAATGTGTGTGCAGGAATCATACTTGACTTGAGGTAGTCAGAGCTGGCGAAAGTGAGGTTAAAGGTTGAGACCATGTATTGTGAGAAATCATCATTCAAATTGTGAAGCCAACTTGGAGTATTACTTATTTGGATTCTGCAAATGCTCAACTTGCTCATAGAGTCCTATATATATGTCAGATCGTGCATAGACGATCATCAACGCAGTGATATTTCATTTACAAAAATGTCGCCACATCCATCCAACGGCTACAGATTATCCACACAATATCCGACAAGTGTGGAGCGTTATGAGCACCATAATCGGGTTGTACTGGTTTATTGTTGAAGGTAGTATGTGGTCATCTTACCAGTTTGAAATGGAACTTGGCTGGGTAGGAATAAGCAAGCCATCCAAGAGAGATCAGAAGTCAGGGAAGTCACGGGCCTCCATAACCAAAAAAAACATAACAGGAATGGAAGGGCCCCTCACCCACCTCAAGACAAACCAGAAAAACCAGCAACCGGGAAAAATTACCATGCATACTGTATTTTCACCTTTTCACTTGTGCATACCATACATACTAACCATTCCAAAACGGCAATACTTACAACCACGTCGTAACTCTCTCAGTATAACAAGAACATTTTGATGAATGAACGCTATGTGAGAGGTAAGACAACATGGAAATAGGAGCACAAAATGTGGCAGCAAGTGGGAAGCATCCATGCTGTGTGATCATCGACCGAGCGAACCATACGTTGTCGTGAACTGAGCTGTGCTTCTACCAGGGAGGATTCCTGTTCAATCTTCGAGCACATGTCTGTTCCTTCTTGCACCAAATGCAAATCTCTGTGAACACAAGAGAACAAGGCGAATGAGTTGTCTCATTAGATCAAAGGTAACTAACTAGCCTGCATGGGGAAGTCTAAAAATTTAACACTTTGAAGAACCTCTTAACTGAGAAAATCTGCGAATATGCTTTTATGCCCGTAAGAAATCGTATATACGTGGGTCTCGTGGATCCATTGGTTGGGATTGATCTGATATTTGGAACTAGATACTCTGCAACCTGCAGTACAACCATACATATATTGACCTGTTATCAGCGAGATAGGGAAGAAATTCCTTTACTTACTCATCCTGATCTCTAGCACAGGGTTGCTATTTTTAAACCAGAATTCACAACGCAATGCCTTGGCGCCATAAATGTACTTTTTCCAGTTCAAAGGACATTCTAGTAGAACACTTTGGTTTCAGGCATCCCGTAAACATGTTAATTTCCCGAAAAGAAAGCTACAACCAAAAAACCATATATCTTGTTAGTTTAGAATGGTGAAGAAAGACTCACCACTTCTGGTGGCTCTGCAAGAACATTAATGAAGAACTTTGCCTGCAAAGAAAAGCGTACTTGGATCAATCCTAGAGAGAGCCACGCCAAAAAAAAAAAGTCTCAAAATGAACATGAACATCATTTTGACCTGCTTTGTTGTGGCCCCAGACATTAGGAGGTCTGTTGTAACCATTCCAGGCTGCAGAATACAAGTTACATAGCAAAATAGTATAAGAACGGCTTCATGGACAAATTTTGATATGAGAAGAGAACATTAAAACTACAAAGGAAGGGATCTTTAAAGTCCTGGTGAAAAGCGTACTTCAAACTATTCCATTCTTATTCTGCAATCTGTAATGTTATATCTCTCTTCTTTCCTTTCAGTTGGAATAAGACATTGTGAACACAGAGGGTAAGTCTCTAGAAACCAAATATCATAGCCTATTGGCATATAAATACGAGAATATAACTCCTCACGATGACTTCAGCAGCATTACGCAAGCAAAGGACTCCCCATGTTTCTCTCTAGCAGTATGCATAAGCCAAATATCATAATACTAAAACTAGAACAGAGGACATGTAAACATAAATCCATGCTTGCACTGATTCCAAGAAAAAGTTAGGTAGCATACCGAAAGATTATGTACAACAACATTCCGAACATCTTGCATCTGCAGCTCTGCCTGCATAAAAAAAAAATTCAGAGACTAGTATTGCCATTGGCATTTTGTTTTTCAGACTAGTAATAACATCGACTTGATGGGTTGATATTGAATAAAATCCCACTGGCTAAGTATCATGCATTCAGAGTTTAGTTGAATAAGGCCTCCATATGCATATACTCGTTTAACTGTCTCCTACCATCATGAATGAAAAAGTGCTACTGATGACAGTAGAGTCGAACAAGCAATTTCAGATACTAGTGCAACGTTCATTCACTATATGTTGAACTGTAGTTTGTGACCAACCATAGCGGAACTTTGATTGCATGGCAAGTGACAAAGAAAACTTGAGCATATACCTGCAATGATTTTGTTAGATGCACCACACTGCGCTTTGTTGCCCCATAAGCTGCAAATCTGTGGCAGGAGAAGAGAAAGATAGTCAATTAGAAAACTGCTGTCAACAGATGTATGATCAAGCAAGGATGTCTAAACCATCAACAAATTACAATATAATGGGGAACTACCAGTTAGATGTTATCATGTTAACTAGTAGGGCATACGGATAATTTCAGTGGACAAAGTGATATCGATTTACAAACCCGTCGTAACCAAGACCTGCAGGGTTTAATCTTATGCGATTATTTTCAAAGTGGAATAAACTGTGTATCTTCAAATGAAAAAGAATGAATGCACGGCCTCCACACATTGTCGATAATTGAGTCAAATGGAAATAGCAGTTACCATCCAACAAGAATGATGCAATCAGAAATTGAGCAGATCACCTCAGTTCAAGAAGCAAACTGTGCAGTAATAATCACAGTATAGGAAGAAATGGCTGAAAAGTGAAAAGTTACCTAGGGGTAGGTCTTCCATCTGAACCGGCTCCATCAATATTGAATATATGACCCCCTCGTGGTTGGTTCAGCATCATTTTAATTGCCTTCACCACATAGTGTCAGAAGAGAATAGGCCTCGAAATGGTTCTTCATAAAACAAAACCATAATTGTTTACCTCTCGACAACATATCATCAGTCCAAGGGTGTTTGTGGTGACAACTTCTCTGCAGAGGAGTTTGATGAGCTTTAATAACACCATATATCACAATTCATGCAGATCATCCCCTAAGACAAATTGCGAATATGGAACAAAGTAACTTGTAAAACAAGGCATATAAAATGCTTACATAAGGTCTTCATCTGAGGATTCTGATAAGGGCTTGTAGCTATACGCATTTGATCCTGCATTATTGATCTGCATCATTCTATAGCTCATGTGAGAGTTTGTACAACAAAAGTAAGCACACATGCCCTACGCTGATAAAAACAAGTTTAAGAGCTGTGGCAGGCTCAAGCATTAAAGAATGATCCAATATTCACTCTGACAAGAGTAAATCACAGAGGCCAGAAAGCAGTGGCAAGTTCAGGAGTTGAAACTTGAAAGAACACCATACCCATATGTCAACATATTTGAGGTTTTCCTTTGCAAATGCGACTAGATTCTTGACATCTTGTCCTTGCCTAACATCGCATGTTGTACCCTGTACCGAGGAAAATTGGTTCTCAGCCAACAATTCAAAATCCACTGAACACCTCGAGCATTAAACATTGTTCGGAGGGAAGGACGAAAGAGCAAAAAATAAACAATGACGAAATGAATCAATTGGGAAAAGAGAATCGGAGGAGGTACCCACACATGCTGCTCTCCAAATTCTTTTCTGAGGCTCTCGACTGCCGATTCTACCCTTTCAGCTGTACCAAATCCCACCCAAAAAAAGCAAGTCAAGAAAGCACGCAACTTGATCAATTAGTCAAGGACTCGTGGTTTGAGAACATCTTTTTAACCCGAAGGCATGAGTGCTTGTGCATACAGAGAGACTGAATCATCCTAATGAAGAAAGGAGGCAATATATATCCAACAAACATTACAAAACATAAACAGTTCCAGAATGCAACCTCGTTATCTTTGTCATGTGTGGCAAGAGACTAATCACTGTGTCATGAATAAGTCTATCATCACATATATCCAAATAGCTTGAACACTCTACAAGTCTAATAACAAAGAGTAGTTGGAACACCATTAATCTACAGAGTCCAATCCTCACAAAGACTAAACATTTTGGACATCTATTCACAGACAAGCAGGTTATATGCCTGGAAAATGTAATAGGCAAGTAAATTCGTACCTGATCTTGAGCATATGATGACATTGTCACCTGCTGCTAGAAAACCTTTAGCTAGTGCATACCCAATACCTGAGGAAAATGAATAACCCATAAGGCATACATTAAGGGAAGCAGAAAGCCAACAGGACAACAAGATGAAACTGAAGATAGGAAGAGCATGTAAGTGCTGTTCTAGGTCCCAAACTACAGACAAGTGGACGATTCATGATCCTAAACAAAAAGGAAAGTTAGACCCTGAATCGAGCTCCGCCCATATAACCAAATCCCACCATGAAAGATGATCATCAACTGGAACCCTCGAGACAAATACGCATAATAAATGAAAACCCAAATAAGAATCCCACACGATTCACCCAGCAATCGAAGTCTGAATTCGCAAACGGGAGGCCACGGACGGGAAACAGACCTTTGGAGGAACCGGTAATAACCACATTGTAAGGAGGAAGCATGGGCTCTCTAGTCACGGAAGAAGCTTGGGGCTTGACTACTGGAGACGCCAGAACGGCAAGCCTGTGCTGTGTGCGGCGTCGTGTGTGGTTGATGGGCGTTCGGCAGCAGAACTGAAGAGTGGAGAAAGCGCGACGGCGGTAGTGGGGAGAGGAGGAAGGTGGGAGTGGTAGTAGCGGAAGAGGAGAGGAGGAGGAACAAGGAAATTGGAGAAAACTAATCGAAGAAGAAGGAGGAGATAGCGCCATAAGTGCCAACCTCATAACAAAATTGAGAGGAGTGACTGATGCGAGATAGATAGAGGTGGCTTTGGCTCTGCCCCGCTGCTCCCGCCGGTTGGATAAACTTCTTCTTCTTCACCACTCTGCCGGTGGCCCTCCCTGTTTTCCCTCAGCTCGTCATCTCTTCTTCCTTGTCACTGGAATGCCACGTAGCTCGGCTCCCCAAGTGGATTTTTGTTTTTTCTTTTTCTTTGGACAACCATTTCTTATTTTAATTTAGAGTATGTGTATTTTTTAACCAAATCTTTATTAGATTTTTTATATTATCTAAATTTATCGGAATAACAATTTTGTTAGTAATATTGATTTGACAATTTAATACTTACTTGGAAGAGACACATAAAGGTAAACACTCCAAAATTTTAGTATTTTAACTAAGAAAAAAGTTACAAAATAAATAATAATGATGTAAAAATGGTTAATATTTTGATACATTACAAAAAGTTTGGCTAATTATTAGCATTTTAATAGATTTAGATGATATAAAAGAATCTGAAAAAAAGTTTGGATAACAAATAGACATTAACCTTTAATTTATTATTTGCCTTCATTGTTTTGATTTTATAAATGCAATGGGGATCAACTCATTGACATTGCCTATGTTTGGCCCGGCTTTTAGAAGTGCTTTTCGGTTTCAAAAGCTGAAGCAACGCCAAACACCTCTAAAAGCTTAGCTTTTGAAAAGCTGAAAAGCGTTTTTGTATAACTAAAAGTAGAAACTCCGATTTGGAGCTTCTGCGAAAAGCTGTTTTGAAAATACAAGATTATCCTTATCATATTTTAAATTTATTTCAGAAAATATCATTTTACTTCATTCATATCATTTTAAAAATAAATTATAAAATCATATTATTTTTTCTGGTAGGAAAAAATCATATTATTTAATATAAAAGAAAACTAACAAGATCCATTTTGACTACTTTTTACTGTTTAAAATTTTTATTCATATTTTATCTTATAAGTCCTTTATAGTCATTTTACACGATCGCTCATATAAAAAAACGCTTCTAATAGTTTTACAGCCAAACACTAAACTGCTTTTTTAGAAAAGTACTTATCTAAAAGCTCCAGCAGAAACTACTTCTGTAAAAGCTACTGCAGGACCAAACTAAGCTATTCACAATAAGTATTATACTAAAGCGTTATAATGCTTAAATCGTTAATAAAAATCAATTAGATGGCTAATCGACAAACGGAAAGAATTTTGAATTATAATTAATGGGGCTTCTAGGTCCTTTATGGATTCACTAGCTTTTTGGCTCGCGCTCCGCCGCGGTAAGAAACTAATGATTTAGTTTAGAGTCAAATAATTCACAAAATTATTTATATAAGATATATATGTGAGTTTCACGTAATGTCTTAATTATTGCGAATAACATATGTCATCCGTTGGTTTAATTAAACTATTTCTACATAAGGTTTACGTAGTGTTTAATCATTATGGAAAACTACATATTATTTTTTAAAGTTAATACATATAAAATGATTATATGTCCGTAAACTTTGTTAAATATGCAGCACAAGCAAACAGAATAAGGAAATAAGCAATCACACAACAAGCTTGATATGGTAGCTTGGCTTAATCCACGGGGAGAACATAGGTTGCAGATATATTTCGATGATCCCCCATTGTCCCTCGGTACACACACACACATATATACTAATACTCCTACCCCTTCCTCAAGTTACACTACGGGGTAGGACTAAGCTAGCTGCTCAAGCTAAGCTACTAGGATACAATAGCTTCGTAAGTTGTACTAGAAAGATAAGCATCCGAATATGCTGCACAAAATATGCTAAATCCATAACACTCCTACCCCCATTGTCCCTCGGTACACATTTAATACTCCTACCCCTTCCTCAAGTTACACTACGGGGTAGGACTAAGCTAGCTGCTCAAGCTAAGCTACTAGGATACAATAGCTTCGTAAGCTGTACTAGAAAGATAAGCATCCGAATATGCTGCACAAAATATGCTAAATCCATAACACTCAACAGCCTCCCCCAAATTGATGCATGCTCCGGAGCATCAATTTGCTAGAGAGATACCAATGACGCGCAGCGGTGAAGGCTTTGGTGAAGAGGTCTGCAGGTTGTTCATCGGTAGGAACATAGTGTAGATAGACATTACCGGAAGTGACCAAGTCACGAACGTAGTGGATATGATATTCGATGTGCTTTGTGCGATCGTGAAGAACAGGATTAGCAGCAATCTGGATAGCACTAGTGTTGCCGAGACGACTGAGGGAAAATCGAAGGAAGCTGGGAGTTGAATTGGAGAAACGCGACCTTGTCACTAAACATTCATTGTTGGTTGTTTTCTAGCTTTGATTTGTGCTTCGTATCGATTGAAAATCACATCAATCGTGGCCGAGCTTCCACCAAACCCAATCGAGCCTCTTCCCTAGAGTGAAGTTGCACCTTTGGTTCGTTTTAGTTTTCAATTTTCCAATGTCAATAAAGTTTTTTTCGATTGAACCTCAATTGCGTGACTCTGATAACCACAAGCAAGGATTTAGCTAGCATCAGAATTCCTTTCCCGGAAAGATTTCGCAACGGGAGTGGAGTACGAGAACCTCTTCGACATGATGATTGATGTAGTGATTTCGTTGGCTTGTCACTTGAGCACTAAGTAAGGGAGGAACTCCAACGAGGAGGGAAGCAGTGGCGCAGGCTGGCCTATGTCTCGTCACTGATTGACCTCGAGCCAGTGGAGCGCTTTGAACTCTTTTTCTCCACCATTACAGCTTCCTTCGGGGCCATTGTGATCGTAAATCTGCTGGAGAGTGACTATGCTGCCTGGATTAGGTGTTTCATCTTGGCTGGGCGTATCATCATCTTGAGCTTTATTGTCGTTGTCTTTGAATTCTAAGAGAATCTGCTAGCTATGGTGAAGGATGCGCTGAGAAGACAGTGCAAACGATTTGGGAGTAAGTGTAATTGACTTGATTTTGACTTTACCGTGTAGTTTTCTGTGTAGTAGTTCCAAACCGTTTGCCCTAGCTTCTCAACACTTAACACAATAATATTAACAGATTATTTTGTTTAAGAACATAAATATTAATACTTATGTGTGTGTTTATCATAAATTTTCATTGAGATATATTTGTTTATTAAGTTTTAATAAACAAATTAAAAAATTACTTATAAGATTTAATCATATATTTTTTGTTTAAATTATTGCTTTATATGTCACTCTTTAAATCTTAGTCTATTGCTGCCACACACACACATATATATAAGTTATTGGATAAAAGCAAAAAGAAAAATATTAAAAGAAGTGAGAGATAGCTCCATAAATAGATCATTAACTAAATTTTTGTTTGTAAAAAACTGTCGATCTTTACAACATGTGAAATCTCTAAGTATTTTATGTTGTAAAAGTTATTTTTGAATTGTCATAATATTTACTAAGATAGGATAAGATTTCATTCGATCACATAAATCTTCCAACTTACAAAACAAATATCGTAAAACTTAACCTAAACACATAAAGCAGCTTATTCATTTGAATTGAAGAGCAATTTGTGTTAGTAAATTAGAAAAGATCCATAACTGAATCTCTCACAAGTCACAACAACTCGAGTTGTTGAAAGTTGGAACCATAAAAAAATCGAGTTGTTAGAACTACTTGGTTTATGATATAGTATCATAGTTGGTTTGCCAAATGATCGTGTGTCTCAATCTCCACGACCTCCCAATATTGACAATTGATTGAAGAATAATATATGGTGCGACATGTGCAAACTTCAAGTACATGAGCTGACCTTCATTTAAGAAGACATATAAGAAAGTAGTATAAGATCTATAAATGAATTTTTCCCAACAATTTGAGTTATTAATATTAGTTGGTTAATGTCAGCTCAAATGCAAACGATCTTAACTTATAAAATACAAATTTCATGTAAAAAATCAGCAAATAGTAGGCGAGAATTAAATCTGCATAATAATGTGGGTTGTATAATCTTTAGGCTTGGTTTATTGATTTTGCCGCTGGTCTTCAACCAGGAGGTTTCGAGTTCAAAATTTTAAGTAACATTTAACAATGAAAATAAAACACGTGTCGCTCTCATTAAAAAAATATTTAAGCATGCATGTTTGTTGTCCTACTTAGACACAATGTATCGATTTGTTACTAAAATCAAACTCATCATACGACTCTACTTCACCATAAGGGCTAAAACTATTTAATTGGATATATGATCTCTAGTGTGAGGACAATGATTATAATATATGTGATACAAAAGTGAAGGGTATAATTATTTAAAAGAATGCATGAAGGTTGAGACAACTATATGAAGAAAAATATCAAAATCTATTCTTATATATCCCACACAAGCAACAACAACTCCTCAATTCTTATCTAGTCTACTTTCATAAAAAAATATTTCTTACAAATCATTGATTTTTAACATAAAAAATGTTGACTGATCATCTTTGATTTCTCGCTGCTAGTTGATGCACTTCTCTTCTAATTCTTTTCACCTCCCCTCATCCCTTATGATTCCATTTTTATAAATAGTGGATAACTAATCTATCATTTAAATCTTTAATATTTTTCCTTATGTAGGAAATATAAGAATAAAGAACAAATTAATAACTTTGATTGAGAGGGAGGGAACACTTACCTTTGATGGACCAAATTCTTTTAATTGATAAGGACACTAAAACAAAATATTGAAGCAAGAGCATGATGACAAAACAGTAAAATAAACAAAGTTTGGAGATTTTGAATTTTTGACTACGTGGCGATGGGGATGAGTTAGAGTGACAACCATTAAAGTGAGCTTCAAATTGACAAACTACTTGTCTACCATGGAATATACCCTCTTTCTTCCTAATTTAAGCTGATGGTCGAGATTAAGTTATTGAGACTAACCGACACTTACACCGTTTAAGCATTTAAAGCACAAATAAATTAAACCCTAAGCCTTCATTTCTATAGATAGAAAATAATCCCTAAGCCTTAAGCCCTACTTTTTTTTGTTTTTTGTTTTAACAATATAAGACTAGGGGATGGCCGGACAATAAATTAACAAAACTCACAATAACCAAGAATGGTAGTTCGTACGCAACCAGACTCTTGATGGAAGAGTATGTTTTGCCACTAGATGCATAGTTTTGTCAAAACTTTGAGGAGCAAAAAGATACAAAAATCACTCAGATAAATAGAAAATGAACCATACTTCCTCCACAATTACCCCTTATCTAAGAGTGATAAACTATTGTGACTGCGTCAAAATGTGAAAGCAATGGGAAAAACTCCCACAAAACAATACAAACAAAATGACACATTATGAAAATACAAAACTCTATCACAAGAGATAGGAGCAAGCCCTTGACGTACAATCAGAGTTACCGAATGCAACAACAAAATTTATCGCATAAAGGATAATATTGAGGATCAATTGGGAAAAAAGTCTCTTAATCCCTCCTTTAAAATTGACTAAAAAAGAATTTCAAAATTCTAAAGTTCGAACTTTCCTGTACAACCAGACATTTTCCCGTCTAAGTGTAAATGAAGAAAAAATCACACCTAAACAAATTAGTTTGAGGAAGATCTTATTTTTAGTAATAATTAGGGTAAATACAATTTATTAGCTAAACCTTTCAAAATTTTCAAATTATTAGTCAAATCTTACAAAATACTAGTCAAATCTTTTGTAACACATTAACATGTTAGCAATTTTTCTGTCATCGTTAGTAATTTTGTAACTCATTTCTTAGTCAAAATACTAAAATTTTAGAATGTTGACATCAACATGTCTCTTCCTAGTCAGTATCATGTTGCCAAATCAATATTACTAACAAAATTGCTAATGGAAATTTAACATTTGGCTAATATTTTATATTTTGAAAAGTTTGCCTAATAATTTAAAAAGTTTGAAAGGTTTAGCTAATAAATTATATTTTACCCTTATTTTTATTATTTTTCATTATAAAAAATTGAAAAGGTCTAAACTGGGCACACTAAAAAAATTGACACATGTAAATATATAATGGTGGAGATGTGATTATTTAGATTGATAAATGTAGGATGTAGCTAATTAGTGACTTGGACAATATTTAGGACTTTGCTATGGTGACTAGCAAGTCACAATAATTTGGACAAAATGGTCGAACTGTTTACTTATGAGGTCGACCTATTTGGACAAAACGGTCGACCTCTTCACTGATATGGTCGACCTATTTGGACAAAATGGTCGACCTCATTGTTGGAATGGTCGACCAGATGTATTATTTTTCATTTTGCTATGCTCAACAAACCGTCAACCTCTTCCCCTAAAAGGCACAATACAAAAAAAAATAGTCTACTACTTCCATCAAGTGGTCTACCTCTTTTCCCAAGTGGTTCACCTCTTTAAATAATTGATCCACCCGATGAACCATTCCTAGTAATATCATCATATATAATTAGAGTCCAATAACAATAGATATGCTTTCGAGTAAGAAATTTAAAATTAGTATTATAAAAAAAAGATTTAAAATTAGTACAAAGGCTGCAAGCATAGATGACAAGTTTCTCGAGTGATTGTTCTCATGTAGATTTGAAAAATGTTCCGCATATGTATTTCTTATATTTGGCTTACTTTATAGAGATTTTCATTTTTTCTTCAAATTCTATGTTTTATTGTTTCTATCTTGTAGTTGCCTTGTGATGGATCAACTTTGTTGCTATTGTTGTTATGAAGATTCTAAAAAAGGAGTAGATTTGTTATACAATTGTGTCATATTCGACGTCCATAAATCTCACATCATCTCTTATTAAAGATTATTTATTTTAACACAATACCTCAATTTAGATTCTTGTAGCTACAAAAGTTTTTTATTTAGATATCTCAACTAACACACTTATGTTTATTTATTGCCTCAATCCTCGAATTTAGATTTGTCTACCAAGACATCAAATATTAAATAAATTTTTTCAACCCTTATTTGGTCAATGCTAAGGTTAGTGGTTGATGAAATGTGATGTTTATCGTATATCCTCAACGAAGATTTTCTTAACCTTCACACCTGTTGTTTTTTAAGTGATGTTGTGTCTCATCTTAGGTATGAAGTCAAAACTCGTCAAAAATCATACTTAAATCATTTTGAAAACTTTGATGTAATAATGTCAGACAATAACTCTAAATCTGAAAAGAAATTACTTAGTATTCGACTTATGACCTCAATAGAGATCGTACAATTAATATGATCTAGAGTGAATATTTTAATATAAACCCTATGACAAATTATAAATTATTGCATACTTGATTCCTCTTAATTTGAGAAACTGAAGGTAGAACATGAATATATGTTTTCACTTAATCATGATGAATAAGAAGTTTTTTAAAGAAATAACTATTATTGCTTAGTCAGTTTATATTCAGACCTTTTGCTATATAAGACTTGTTTTATTTGATAGAAATATATATTAGAAATAATTCGACAAAAAAAATAAATTAGAAATAAGAGAGTTGTTAATACAAAAAAATCAAAATTCATATATTTCATTTTCAAAGTCGATGGATAAAAATATTATTATATATGTGTGAAATTTTTTAATCATTTGTTTTCAATGTTTCTATTGTAATATTTTGTTTAATTAATACAAATATTATTATATATGTGTACTTTTTAATCATTTGTTTTCAATGTTTCTATTTAATATTTTGTTTAATTGATACAAATATTAATATATATGTGTACTTTTTTAAATTTTTTTCAAAATGTAACTTATTATTAAGTTTTGGTGAAAATGAGTAAGAAAATTTACTTGATAATATTTAATCATATACTTTTTATTTAAACAAATTCGATATAGTCACTCTCTATTTCCATCTTTATATTTTTTAATTGACAAAAATATTATACTTTTGTGTGTTTGTTTACATTCTCATAAAAAGGTAATTTATTATTAATTTTTAGTAAAAATGAGTAGAAATATTAAAAGAAGAGAGAGATAGCTCCATAAATAGATCAATAATGAATTTTTTGTTTGCAAAAAAAGTTGTCCACCTTGGCAACTTGTGAATTCTCCAAGTGCTTATGTGGCAAGAATTTATTTTTGAATTGCCATAATATATATTATAGATAGATAGATAGATATAGATATAGATATAGATAGATAGATAGATAGATAGATAGATAGATATAGATTTTTATCACGAAAGAGTTAAAAGAGGTGTTTCTTTTTGTCTTGGCTTATAATCTGCGTATGGATTCGGTTGCCCACAATGGATAGGATGTTTCGTAACTACAAAAATAATTTTATATTGTTGATCTCCTATTGTCCATTATTTTCCTAATGTGAGTATAAGTTAACTGTGTTATTTGGTTGACTATTCGCCGAAAGCGAAGATCATTTGTCGAAAGAAATATGTAAACCATATTGCGGAATCAGTAGGTTGTTTTGGAGGAAGTGGTCTACCTCCTCCAACAAGCAGTTGTAAGTTGAAGGTAAGTGTGTCACAGGTTGACCCATTGCCAGAAGCGGTTGATCGGCTGCCTCGAGTGGTATGCGACTTGGTGGAAGAGGTCGACCACTTACGTTAATTGTGTCATCAACTCAACCCATTTCCGAAGCGGTAGACAGGTTGACTCAAGTGGTAGACCACTTGGTTGAAGAGGTCGACACTTGGAGGTAAGTGTGTCATCAGGTCCACTCATTTCCGGAAGTGGTAGACCGGATGACTCAAGTGGTAGACCACCTGATGGAAGAGGTCGACCTCTTGAAGGTAAGTGTGTCATTACGGGTAACACAAGTTGAATGGTATAAAGTGTTTGTGGGGCAAGTGGGGTAGTACCAAAATGAAAGACATTATTGTTGTTGAAAGATGTATAAATTATGCTTCGGACCAAATTCACAAGAATCGTGGTTCAATAGTAAAAGATATTATAGGATTAAGGATTGGATCAATATTGCAATCGGTCTGCTTTGGTCCAGTCTAAATGTCACTTCGGTTCAATGTTTCTTCAGTATTTATAAAATTCACGAAACCAAAAAACAAGACCACATTATATTTGATTCCATATGGGGTCGTTTGGATGGATCGATATAGAAATGAGTTAATTTGATCAATTTTCTCGTTTTATAAACGAGGCAATTAAAATGAGTCAATTCGAATTACCTGCTCTCACCCCAGGTAATTGAAATTGACTCAAAACGGATCAATTCAAAATACCCTGGTCCGATCCAAACATTAATTTGATCCGGTGCACACCCCTACTAATAAAAACTAAATTAGCTTTGCCTTACTTGCCAACATGACAGATAATTCAGCCTGCAAGTATTATCAAGTCCCAACTAATTCCTTGTTTAGGTGGGCAAAAGGAGGAAGAAATATTAATCAATATAGCACGTGAAAATGTTCCAAGTATTTACCAAAATAAGAAATGTTCTAGTTTTTCAACAAGCAACCAAACAAGGCATAATCTCCCTGTTTCAATTAATTAAATGGCTGCTTCCATGCCCTATCCACAAGTTGAATAATTGCATTGCCTTCCTTTTAAAGCTAACGAGGAAGATGACTGTGAGAGGCCAAACTTTGACAAATAAAACTCCCAAGAGGTTGTCAACCCAAGTAGACTCGTCAGTTGGCCCACTTTGATCCTGACCCGATGAGAAATATGAGTTGTATATATTTGTCAGATCGATCGTTGCAAGGTATCGGGTTAGATGTTAAATTGTGTCATTTTTTTCTTTAATTAGAGAAATGAGCCTATTTTTCCTGTTTTGTTTTTCGCTTAACCCAATCTTGAGAATTCTAAGTTGAACATTTGAATATTGAAGTTATATAAGTGTGTGTAAATTTTCACTATGTATTGGATCCAAATACGCCATGTTATTTTAGTGTAATAGTATATGTCATTACTCATATATTATATAAGATTTTATATAATTTATAAATGTATGAACAATATAATTACTTTTTTTATATATCCGTACTAACACGATCGAACCAGTAACTTTCAACTCACTTACTCGACGTGGCCAACGGGCTAAAACCGGTTCGACAACCTTCCCAACAACATTCATGTCCCCATCATTTCTCCGTTGACTATTGAAATCTTGGGCCGATGTGCAAGCTTCCTAAAAAAAACTCCCTCGATTCCCATGTTTTACATAGATTATGTTCCAATTCGCTATATATTTGCTTATTTATTTCAGCCACGATGTGTGTATATAGCAAGAGCTTTTCCATGCTTCTACAGTTACCAAATATGAAGATCATCCAGCAGGCAATGGCGGCCCTGGTGTTTGCTCTGCTTCTGATCGCTCTGCCCAGACCATCAACAGCTTCATCCGTCATCGTCATAGGCGCCGGAATGTCAGGTCAGCACCACATACTGACTCGCACGTTATATGCACTCGACTCATAATCGTCGTATTATATTAATCAAAATCTTCCGCGCGTCAGGGATTTTCGCTGCAAAGACGTTGTATGAAGCTGGAGTAACGGACATTGTGATACTGGAAGGCAGCTCAAGGATCGGCGGGCGAATGATGAAGGCAGAGCTCGGCGGTTACACCGTCGAAACGGGCGCGAATTGGTACAACACCGGAGGGCCTCTGCAGAATGTTGTAGCTTCTCTAGCCAACAAGACGAAGCTCAGATCTTCTCGCAATGACAACCTCAACATGTCAGCAAACACCTACGGACAAGAGTACGTTTGTAAATCCAACTAGCTCGAAATTAGACAGTAGTATTATTATACATGTTGAACTTTTTACATTTTGGTGAAAAACAGAGGAAGTTTGTACCCCAAGCAATTGGTGGAACAAGTCCAGAAGGTTTCCTCCGATAAGGAAAGTTTCTACGAAAGGTATTCTGCAGTACTGAGTTCCATTTCCAAAGCCGAGGGAGTCGACATTGATGTGTCCGTCTGGAAGCGCAGAGGCTGTTTGGAAAGTAAGCAAACATGTCTTGATTTGGTTATCTTATTGGACAGTCATGTCGATTACAGAGTGATAATGAGTTGCTTGCCTCCTCTGTTTTTTGGGGGGGACAGTGTTCCATCGAGTTCACTAGAAATGGTGATAGACTACTTCAACAATGATTACGAAGATGGAGATCCCCCCATGGTTTCAAGCTTGAAGCACACATACCCTCGTCGCGAGGCCATGGACCATGGCGACGTGACCAATTTCGTGTGTGATCCGAGAGGGTTCGAGGTTTTGGTTCAGGATCTTGCATGCCAGTTCGTCAACCGTAGCAGCAAGCACTCCAAGCTCTTGCTCGACAAGGTACGAAAGCTGCATATACCTCTTGTTAAGCGCAAAACATTGATTTTTTTTTTAAGTCGAAAATCCACTGTCTTTTTCAGGTTGTTAAGGAGATATTCTACACGACAAACAGAGGAGTCAGGGTCGAAACAGAGGATGGGTCTGCTTACCAAGCTAAGTACGCCGTCGTGTCTGTCAGCCTCGGCGTGCTTCAGAGTAACCTCATCCGCTTCGCTCCGACCTTACCCGTGAGTTCCACCCGAACAAAAAGAGCTCTCTCCAAGTTTTTCATTGGTTAGTGCTGTTGATATTTGATTACGGAACTCAACCCTGTGTGATCAGCGGTGGAAGACGGATGCGATATCGCGCTTCGACATGGCGGTGTACACCAAGATTTTCTTGAAATTCCCTTACAGGTTCTGGCCCGCCGGTCCTGGAACAGGGTATTTTTTCTACGCCCACGCTCGTCGCGGATACTATCCAGTATGGCAGGTAAAAAAAAAAAAATCGAACTCTCGACAAACATGGAGGGTTCCGATTTCGTTTATTCTTAGATGCCACGATCCATCAATTTATGTCGAGGGTCGAGTCGTGACGCGACCGATCAAAATGCAAATGCAGCATCTGGAGAACGAGTATCCAGGGTCGAACATACTATTCGCCACGGTAACTGGGGACGAGTCGAGAAGGATCGAGAGATTGCCGGACGAAGATGTACAGAAAGAGGCCATGGATGTGCTGAGAAAGATATACGGGAATGGGATTCCGGAGCCAGAAAGGATCTTGGTGCCGAGGTGGGCGATGGACAGGTTGTATAAAGGAAGTTACTCGAACTGGCCAAATGGTTACACCAAAGCCAAGCACGACCAACTTCGGGTAACTTTATCAAAGTGTGATTGAACTGAACTATATATCAGTTTCCAAGCTGTGGTGAAACGGTAATTAACATGGTAAATGGTGTTTGGTGTAAAAAAAAAATAAAATTGTGTGCAGGCTCAGGTGGGTTCTGTTTATTTTACTGGGGAGCACACCAGCAGTAAATATTTTGGTTACCTGACTGGAGCTTACTTAGGAGGTTTGTTGGTTGTCTCGATACTTCATTTCTTTGCCAATTTTTCAGGATCGATGTGGTCATTTTGTTTGTTTTTGGTTTTTTGTTGTTGTTGCTAATTGCAGGAATCGACACTGCTAAAGATTTAATAAAATCCATCAAGGCTGAACGAGGAATGACATTATCTCGCAAAAGTATTGTGGATATCAGATTTGAAAAATGATGATTGTACGGTGCGACAATTATTGAATTTCAGAAATATGTTGATTGCGGTTTAAATTGTACGGTGGATTTTTTTTATTATTATCCGGAAGAAACTAACTTTACAACTCCATTAACGGTAAGACGGCAGTCTTAATTACTAAATTGAATTCGATTTACTTTTTTTATTTTACACTTTTGTGAGACAGTTTGAACGAGTCGGCGGTAGACTCTTGGATGGACGACATGTATTTGAATTCGTTTATAACTTGTGATAAATTTAGTTTAATATGTGATGCCTTTTATGTCATTATATCGTATGAACGGTTCCATCAACAACGACACTATAGCGATTAATCGCTAAATCATAAACAACTAATTACTTTTTTGATTAAGCGACGACTCATATGGTTATGAATACAGGATAAGATCATTACATGTACTTTGATGAGCTCCGATCAATTCCAACGGTCAATTATTCTTTTATCTTAAATTGAACTTCGAATTTAACCGTTTGAGTTTAGATAATCGGGACCCAGAGTTTATTCATTAAAAGTTAGCGTATAGTATCATACCTCAAATTTAATTTGATTCATGGTCTATATATATTGATATATCACCAGATTTACGCTGGAATATTAGTATATTTTAGGAGAACACCAATTCCACCCATGAAAGCAGAAGTTGCAACTTGCAACTATAGGATTGAGTATCTCTAGTGTGAAGGCAAGGTTAATAATATACCTAATACAAGAGTGAAGGGCGAAGAAACCCAAATCCATCAAGCGATTCTCTGGCATTGCTGCTCTCTCTCTCTCTATATATATATAATTATATACGTACCCATTTGCACATCTTTCATTCAAACCACCTTGATCGTGATCGGAGATGGCGATGAGTCAAAGAAGTACAGGTAGCTTTCGCGGCGGACGAGGAGGATTTAATCTCTACGGCCGGCAAAGGCAGCAGCAGCAGCGGCTACTCCCTCAGCCGCGACCCTTCCGTCCTCCGGCTCCGGTGACTCCTCCTCCGCCGTCGGAGGAAACGTTTCAACCCAAAGCGGTAACCGAGGAGCTTCATGATGATCATCACTCCCCTTCCTTCCTTCTCCGCCTCCTTCTCCCCGGTATAACCAGTTTATCTAACTCCTTATCATCATTATTATTCTATATAGAAATTTATGCATGAGAAAATTGTTTGGAAAGAAAGTGGTGAAAGTAGCGTACATGCAGATCTCTCCCAACAACTCGAGTTATATTGAGATTTGAGATCAGTTGGTTTATGACATGGTATCATAGCTGGTTTGTCTTGTTAGTATTGTGGTATATGATCCACGATTGAACATCTCCCAACAACTCGAGTTATTGGGACCAACTGGTTTATGACATGTCCTTGATTTCACGTGTTCAAGTCTTCACGACCCCCAATGTTAGTTAATCGTCATCTCAAAGCACACATGGTATGGTTGGGCATGTGCAAACTTCAAAGCCAATGAGTTGGCTTTCGTTTTGGGGGGGAGGGGTAAAGAAGTGGTTAAATACCATGCATGGACCTGTCACAAAAACTCGAGTTATTGGGACCAGTTGGTTTATCACATTATTGATTTTTCGAACAATGGCGCAGGTTTCACGAGATTGGAGGATGTGAAGATTACAAAAGGAACGGGTTCTGAGTCGAAGCACGTCGTTCGAGTTCAAGGGGATAGATTCGACTCACAAGCAAACAAACGCTACAGTTTCGATGCCACCTTTGTTGTCCCGCTCGAGTACGACATCTCGCCGCCGATGGATGCCAAGCTCGAGAGCGGTGGGATTCTCACCATCACCTTCCCCAAATTCTCCTCCTCTTCCTCTTCTTCCTCTTGGAACTCATCCGACTCCCATACTCAATCTCACTCATCCTCCGATGAAGAATCGCCGCGACGTCCTTATAGTCCACCCAGAACAGACGATAAGCATGAAGGTGGAGGTAATAAGAGCGTTTCTGGCAAAAATGTGTCGGAGAAGGAGAAGGCAACGGTTGATCAAGAGAGAGGAGAAATGACTACCCAGTACTCCCCTGCTTCTCACCAGGGTCTGTCCCCTGCATCCGACTTGATCAAGCGCACGCGCGACAGTCTTCTCAGAGATGAAACCATGGGACGAGGAAGGGGCGGACACGACGGTGGCAACGCAACGTCGAAGGTGAATGCGGAGAACAAATTGGCGGACCACTTGTCGCACAATAAAAGAGGAGAGAACGAAGGGGACAACGTGATTAAGAAAGAATCATCGCCAAGTGTAGGAGGAAGAGACGATGGCGATCATGGAGGTGGAAGTAAGAGTAGCTCCGAACAGAAGGTGGCAGAGAAGGAGAAGGAGGTAGATCGAGAGAGAGGAGAAAGAACGGGGCTAATGCAATTGGTGGCGAATATGAGTGCGGCGGTGGCCGTCATCGTTACGCTTGGAGCCTTCAATTATTATTTCACGTTCGCTTGAATGTGTTTATGAGACAAAAAAATAAATTGTAATAAATTAAAAAAAAAAAATAATATAAAAATAAAATTAATGAAAATGGTGTGCAATCACATCCCTTGTGCTTGGGGTTATCCAAGCCCACAGGGATGTAGGCCAAAGCCCAACCCTCAAATTGCCGTTCTACATCGGACCTTGTAAACAGACCCGCACTTCCACTTCCAGCGTCGCAGTTTCATTTTTACCCGCGACGCTGCTTATTCGCGCGCCGGCGACGGACGATCGAACAGTTCATCGTCGCTCGAAGATTGTTAGACACCTAGACTCGCCGTAAAACGTTGTCCCGTTGATTTGTTAGACTCTCGTCTCGAGTTGGGCGACTCAGAAGAAGTCCCGTCCATGCCGCTGCTTCGTCCGTCTTCTGCTTCTAATTCGGGTGCCCTACTCTACTGACTTGATTGGTAGAATGCGGAGGAGTTCCAAGCTGGGATGCTTGCTTGTGGGATGCGGCAGCCGGTTCTACAGCAGTCAGCGCCGCCCACCGCTCAGCGCCAGGGCATCGTATTGCAGCTTGCTTTTCTTCCTCCCCAACAATTCGACGACGCTGTCTACTAACTTCCGTTCCCTCCGTCGCTTCTCTAGCTACGCCGTCGAGCAATTCTCAGATGACGAGTACGAGTGCGACTTCGAGTCCCACAAGGTTTTTCAGTTTTTTTCCCTTCCTTTCGAGGGTTTCCATTTCTCCCTTCTTGTAGGTGTTTTTGCGATTATAAGTTGAAATTTGATTCACTGGACACGACCTAGTTGCACGGTTTCTATTGCGAAAGATGACTTGGTGGTGGGATTTTTGAAGAAACGTTGTTTGGTGGATTATTGTAATGTCAGGCATCTTCTTCGGTGGCCAATATTGATGAGTGGAAATGGAAGATGAGCTTGCTGTTGCGCAGTGAGACTGACCAAGAGATTGTTTCCAAAGACAGGAAAGACAGGAGGGACTATGAGCAGATATCTAATCTTGCCCAACGGATGGGACTTTATAGGTGAAACTTTTTTGAATCTTATGTTAATGATTCCTTATGTTTGCTTTCTTTGGCTTTTCGGGTACCTTGCCTTCTTTTGAGAATCTACATTTATCTTGTGCATTTGCTCATTTCCTATCCTAGTGAAATGTATGGGAAAGTGGTGGTTGCAAGCAAGGTTCCACTTCCAAACTACAGGCCAGATTTAGATGATAAGCGGCCGCAAAGAGAGGTAACATAGTCAAACCCTTGAATCTGCTTCATGTCTATTCTTCTGGGAGAAAATGATTAGTGTTCTACTGATTTTATGGACCGGCTAGCTAACCACGTTTTATCACAGCATTGAAGCTAGTAGCCTCGGTTTAGCTGCTAATTTAGTGTTGCATGTTTCCAGTACACTTGGACTCGGGGATTTTAATCATGTTGCCGTTGTACAGGTGGTTGTTCCTCTAAGCTTGCAGAGGAGGGTGGAGAGTCTGCTTCAGGAACATCTTGACAGAACTCAACTGACATCTGGAAGAGCTGATGGCACAACAGATGGCGGTAATCCTGCTGATTGTGTCGAGAGTCAGAGTCAAATGGAGAATCCAGATTCTTTCCTTGATGACTCTGTTATGGAGAAAGTTCTTCAAAGGAGGAGTTTACGATTGCGTAACATGCAGAGAGCTTGGCAGGTATGTAGTTTTCTCTCATCCTGATTTCATCTGGAAAAGGCCCTTAGAATTCATCTGTATAGTAAGCTTCCTGCCAACTATATGGGGAAAACTTGTTCCCTTCTATTATTAGAGGATTTTTCTTACGGAGCAGTAGACAACCTGAAGTGCCAAGGGCTGGTTGACATTATTGTTTCGCTCGTTCTTCTGATTTAATCGATCGCACTGATTGGATCAATTTTGGAGGTCTGTCGACTTTGATGTTCTTTTAGTTAGTACCAAGGAAAAATGTAATTTAGTATATTTCTCTCAAGTCCTAGGACCCATTTCAAGTGATCCACGTCATTAAACTATTAGACAATCTTTCCCGCTTCTTGTCCATGGTAGCCCAAGAGTTGTTATGTGAATGTTTTTATCACCTAATTGACTTACAGGAATCACCTGAAGGCAAGAGGATGATGGAGTTTCGAAAGTCCTTACCTTCATTCAAGGAAAAGGAAAGGCTGCTTCAAGCTATAGCAAGGAATCAGGTTTGTGGATGGATCTCGTGACCTTAACTTTAGCTAACATGGGTATAAAGGTCACTTTGTGAATGATAGTTGTATAATGATGCAATCTGTGATTGTAGATATGGCATAAGACAGTTGAATGTTTATATGAAAAAGTCAGTTGGATGTTGAAAGGGTGTTTGGTATGGTGGAAGTTGGTGTGGAAACCAGAGATTTTGGTGGTTTTACCAAATTTGTTGTTCGTAATGATTAAAAGCGAGCTTGACCAAAGGTAAAAGTCTAAGAGGGGTTGTCTTGAACCCGTGTTTTGTAGAATGTGTATATTTTTAAATATCTGGGCATTTGAAATAAGGGGATTCAATGAAGTGGTTGATTGTCCCTAATTAGGTGGTTCAAATGATTACTAGTGAGTTTAAAATTTATGCGGGATTTAGGATCCGTGATTCTTGGAGCATCACAGAGATTGAAATCACATAAATTGTACACCTTTTTGTTTTTTTTGTTTAGGTGGACAAGTACCTTATCTTTGGTTTACCATGTTATGGTCACAGGTTGTAGTAATATCAGGCGAAACTGGATGTGGAAAAACCACTCAGCTTCCCCAATATATATTGGAGTCTGAAATAGAATCTGGGCGTGGAGCATTTTGTAACATAATTTGCACACAGCCTCGGAGAATATCAGCTATGGCTGTTTCAGATAGAGTATCAGCTGAGAGAGGAGAGCCGCTTGGTGAATCGGTGAGTAAGTTTGCTCCAGTTAACAGGCTTGTGCCATTGGCATCTGCGGTCCTTGTCTGGAAAGTAGTATCTTCTCTTTGTTTTGAAACTTGTCAATTTTGGTGCTATACCACAACAGATATTTTCTGGTAGGTTGGTTACAAAGTTCGACTGGAGGGTATGAAAGGGAAAAACACCCATCTGCTGTTCTGTACAAGTGGAATTTTACTTCGGAGGCTGCTAAGTGACCGCAACTTGAATGGTGTGACTCATGTTTTTGTCGATGAAATTCATGAACGGGGCATGAATGAAGGCAAGTCTCATTTTCCTTCCTTTTGTTATAGTATTCAATAAAGGAATATTGTACCAAACGTGAGTTTAGGAGATTTGGGTGTTTAATGACCTAATTTTGTTAAATTGCTGTCCATTGGTTTTTATCTGCAACAGACTTCCTACTGATTGTGCTCAAGGACCTTCTTCCTCGACGTCGCGACTTACGATTGATTTTAATGAGTGCCACTTTGAACGCTGAACTCTTTTCGGCTTACTATGGAGGAGCACCTACAATTCATATACCGGTAATGTGTTTCTGTTATTACCTGACCACTGTTGATTCTTTTGGGATTCAGGAAGCGAATGCAATGTGAATGTTTTGCTTTCCTATAACACCTGAATTTGCAACAAGTTAGATAGCTTTTTAGATTAGTGTTATGTGCTTAAAGTATTGGCAGCTTGTATTGAGGTAGTGGAAAAGGTCATATTGTTTGTTGGTGGGCGTTATTGTTGTACTTCTGAATGTCGTCATCTGGATCATAATGGGATGACTAACCTGCTCGTGGTTTTTGTTTTAGGGCTTTACCCATCCAGTCAGGGCACACTTTTTAGAAGATGTGCTGGACATTACAGGATATAAGCTGACTTCCTTTAATCAAATTGATGATTATGGACAAGATAAATTGTGGAAAACTCAGAAGCAGCTGACTCCAAGGAAAAGGAAGTATCAGATCACTACACTTGTTGAGGTACACACTTCATTAGGCGGGGAATAAACAGCTGGTTTTGACTAAGTGAAATTTTTTAGAATCTAACTTATTGATTGGTTATTAAAAAAATATTTATATTATTTCAAAATATCTTCTTGATTGGTGACATTGGATCACTTTGTCGACCTTTAAGGAGTGTAGAAATGGATTCAGAATCTGTTTTCTTCTAAGTTGCAAAATCTTTATACTCGTGTTTCAAGAAATTCTTTGATCATTCTTCTTGCCTGTACATATGTCCAGCTGTGAAAATACTGATTATTTTGTTCAGTTTAAGCAAAATCCATATGTACACAGCATGCTGTTACCGTTAATCTTTCAATTAAGTTTTTCATTTTTATTCTTTGCAGGATGCTCTTAATAAAACAAGTTTTGAGACTTATAGCTCCAGGGTCCGTGATTCTTTGTCAAACTGGATGCCTGATTGCATAGGCTTTAATCTTATTGAGGCCGCTCTTTGCCATATATGTCGGAAGGAGCGACCAGGGGCTGTACTAGTATTCATGACTGGGTGGGAGGATATTACCTCTTTGAAGGATCAGCTTAAATCTCATCCACTTTTAGGTGATCCCAACAGGATTCTGCTCCTTACTTGCCATGGTTCTATGGCAACATCTGAACAGGTAATGGTTTTCTTATTCAATCTGATAAATAATTATCGGTAGCGAATAGTATTTATCTTGTAAGCTCCAGGTGCTCATCTTTCTTACTGCTTGGAACTTGGAAGTGTATGTTTTAGGGGAATCTGTACGGCCAATAATCTGTGTTCATTTGACCCTGCATTGCAAATAGTTGGAGCTGGTTCTCTCTCTTTTGAGTGTCATTTAATTACCCTGCTTCTTTAAGTTTGAAGCTATAAACTATGTCCGTTTCATTTCATAAAAGTTAGTTCATATCGTTAAATAACTAGAAAGATATTTCCATTCAATCAACTACTTTTTTGTCACTAAAAATGTATATTTATCTACTTAAAAAAAAACATGATTAAGCACTATTCTCGTTATTTTTATAAACTTATTTGTGTCCTAAAATTTTAGACGAGGAAAAACAAATACAGATACTATACGTGTACTGATTTGGTTTCTCATGTTCACCTTTCTGCTGACCTTTTTCTGCAGAAACTCATATTTGAGAGGCCGCCACCTAATATTCGTAAAATTGTACTTGCTACAAACATGGCTGAGGCAAGTATTACCATTAATGACGTAGTTTTTGTGGTTGATTGTGGAAAAGCAAAAGAAACCACCTATGATGCCCTGAACAATACACCTTGTTTGCTGCCTTCGTGGATATCACAAGCATCTGCCCGACAAGTATGTTTCCTCTCATCAATTTTTTCTTTATTCATTTTGTCCAGGTATAGGGTTGATGCTATTTATTGTTCATCTTGCAGACTATATTGATCTGTTGTTTGGTAGTATTGTCTTGGTAATTTTTTAAATAATTTTTCGCCCTGATCCATATAGAAATCTAATGCACGCATAACTTGATTATTGTGTGTTACAGAGAAGGGGCAGGGCTGGCCGCGTCCAGCCAGGTGAATGTTACCACCTTTACCCTAAATGTGTTTACGAGGCTTTTGCTGAATATCAACTCCCCGAGCTTCTTCGGACTCCATTGAACTCTCTGTGCTTGCAAATAAAAAGTTTGCAAGTTGAAAGTATAGCAGAATTCTTATCAGCTGCACTCCAGCCACCAGAATCGTTGGCTGTAAGTTCTGTGTTGAAAAGTTTACTGAGGTTCATGCTGTGAATATGGACATATATCTCTCTCTTGGATATGCAAATGTATTTAGAGGTTGTTGGGTTGGGTTTACTTCGGTCAGTTGCAATAGCTTACATATGCAGACTATTTTCTGATTACTTTTTATACATCATGAATATAGTGTTTCAAATAGAAAAAACTAATCTCAACTCACTAAAGTGATGCAAGCTTACATACATGGTGGTAAACACATGTGCTATGGAGAAGAGGTCCCACATTTCTTTTTCTTCCTTTACCTTTTTCAAATAATTCCTCATAAAATGCATGGGACTGGATAGTGTTGCCATAAATCCGTCACACTTAATAAAACTAAAAACAAACAGCATTCGATTGGAACAAATAGAGTTTCAAATATTCAGAACAAGCACACCTTTAAGTTATTTAGTTAGTCAGTAAGCTGAGGAAAAGCTATAAGTTTGTTTATGCGGATATATATTGTAGTAGTAACATCTGCGAATTAGGTGCTTATAGTGTTACAGCTTTGCATTATTCCTGGTTTTCCTTTTTGTTGTTTCCTTGGCTCTTTAGTGCCACAGTTTTTTCTCCTTGGCTCCAGTTGCAAACTGATGTTGTATCTCCATCACAGGTTTTCAATGCCATTGGCTTTCTGAAAATGATTGGGGCACTCGACGAAAAAGAAAACTTGACAAATCTTGGTTAGTTGCTGACTCACTTTAGCTAGCAGTTAATTCTTACTTCTGGCAATTAAAATCTCCTTTCTTATTTGCCCATTGTCAATCAGGAAAATTTTTATCGATCCTTCCAGTAGATCCTAAGCTGGGGAAAATGCTTATAATGGGTGCAATCTTCCGCTGCTTTGACCCAGTACTAACTATTGTATCTGGACTTAGCGTGAGGGATCCATTCCTCTTGCCTCAAGACAAAAAGGAAGTAAGTACTGGGATGTTCTTGTACTTCACGAGGTTTCTTGGGACATTATTTGAACTATGGAGAAGTTTCAATTCAGTTTATATCTCAGTTTCAGTGCATGTGAGGAAGCAATCTTGGATGAATTTGTTCGAGTTTCATTCAATTTTTGGTATCCGATTATTGATTCGTGAGAATAAGCAGATGACTGCATTATTGCCATGTCCATAGGCTGCATCTCTCAGTAATGTCACACATGTTCTGCTTTTCCTGTGCAACTAAGTTTCAGATATCCTATTGCTGATTCTCCCAGTGACACTTTGCATATAGTTGCCCGACTGGAAGTTCCATTCAATATGATAAATACCTCCCTAATTATGCATTATTCTTTTATAGTTAGCAGGGACAGCAAAGTCTAGATTCTCAGCGAAAGACTACAGCGATCACATGGCTCTTGTCCGTGCTTATGAGGGGTGGAAAGATGCTGAAAGAGAAGGATCAGCATATGAATATTGCTGGAGAAACTTTCTGTCTGCACAAACCATGCAAGCCATTCATTCCCTGCGTAAGCAGTTCAGCTTCATCCTGAAGGATGCTGGTCTCACAGATGGAGATATGAGTTCTAATAACAAATTAAGTCACAGTCAGTCATTGGTTCGAGCAATAATATGTGCTGGCTTGTATCCTGGCATAGCCTCAGTTGTGGTAATTATGCTACACATGTGCTGAATGACCTGCTGTCTTTTCGCCACTGAGTTCTTTTGTTTCAGTTAGTTCTTAATATACATTTGCTCTCTTTTGTAATGTGTAGCACAGAGAAACAACAATGTCTTTTAAGACAATGGATGATGGCCAAGTCCTACTATATGCGGTAAGCATTGCACATCTTTGATTCCAATTGCTTGGCATTTCAGTTTTGGTAACTTCAGATTTCTAACATCAACTGGTTCTTTGTAACAAATGGGTTCAGAATTCTGTCAATGCTCGCTACCAGACTATTCCTTATCCATGGCTTGTCTTTGGCGAGAAAGTAAAAGTCAATGCCGTTTTCATACGTGATTCAACTGGTGTCTCGGATTCTATGTTGATCCTTTTCGGTGGCACTCTTCATCGTGGGGTACAGGTAATTTTACTCTACCCACACATATACATAGTCATGGTCTTTTTGTCCTAAAAATTTGCTATAGTAATCTGAGTGTTGCTGCTGCACATAGGGAGGACATCTGAAAATGTTGGATGGCTACATCGATCTGTTCATGGATCCTAGTTTGGCAGACTGCTATCTGAATCTCAAGGAAGAACTGGATAAGGTTATTCAAAAGAAGGTTGGTAAATAGAGATGTTTAATCTGTAGGGTTAAATTTATTGGCATGTCAGCCATTTATCGGAGGCAATCTGCCTTGTATGGTAATACCGTTGGCCTTTGCTTTTGGCAGCTTGAAGATCCAAACATTGACCTTTACAAAGAGGGGAAGTATCTTATGCTTGCTGTCCAAGAAATCGTATCAGGAGATCAATGCGAAGGGAGATTTGTATTCGGGCGCGAAAGCAAACGACCAAAAGAATCAAGTGATGACAGCAGATTCACAAAAGACGGCTCGAACCCAAAGAGCTTGCTACAAACTCTCCTGATGAGAGCTGGGCATTCCCCTCCCAAATACAAGACGAAGCATCTGAAGACGAATGAGTTCAGAGCACTGGTGGAGTTCAAAGGAATGCAATTTGTAGGGAAACCAAGGAGAAACAAGCAGCTAGCAGAGAGGGATGCAGCCATTGAGGCACTTGCCTGGTTGACTCACACATCCACTGATACCAACCAAAATGAGGAAGACGGGGATGATAACAGCTCCCGACCTGATGTCACCGACAACATGCTCAAACTACTCGGGAAACGCAGAAGATCAAAGCGTCGACCTGGTTGAATGATTGAGTAGGGTTCTTGTAGAGTGGGCTTTCTTGCAGGTTTTCTCCACCAAGCCCGTGAATCAGGTAAACATGTAACTTCATCACCTTCTATGTTGTAACATTCTTCAAACAACTTGTTACTCGACAATAATTAAGCCGGCATCTATAGAAAGATGAATTGGGTCAAGGCATCTAGTAGAAGAGTCGACTTTAGAGGAGAGGTATACTAGTATAGTGAAATAACTAGGGTTTTGTTGCCAGTTATTTTGTGAAGATTGGGATGGCCCAATTAATGAGCAGAAGGCCATTGTACAGAACTAGAGAGCTTGCTGTCATTTTATGTATCCATCAGTTCATCTGATCAGGTGGTGTGGGTTGATGCTGATTTTGAGGATTGGGACATATTTAGGCTGTGATTTTATCTGTACTTTTTCTTGCTATTTTCTGTGTTGTTCCCAGGTACAACAGTTTATAGTACATGGCTCATTAATGTATGGTAGGTTTCCGCAGTGCAATCTGGTACCTGGATGTTTTCAATCTTTCATTCATTGCTTGGACGAAATGGAACCTTCAAAATTAAAAGGAAAGAAAATTTAAGGTGTTGTTTGCTTATTGGGATTTGGATGTTGTATTTGGTCTCCAAATACAAATCATCATATTTTTTGTCCAAAGTCATTGTTTGTTAAGGTAGGCAAATCCATAGGGCCCACGGATTTGGACAATTTTTTTAGCTCCAAATCCATGGACCCTACGTCTTCGTAAATACCACATTTCATTTGGTATTTGAAAATACCACATTATGAAAGGTAAATTTTTTAGAACCAAATACCAAATGAACTAAAACAATGTTATCTTTCAAATACAAAATGCAACAAATCCATCATAAATCCAAAGGTTTTCAAAACTCAAAACCTTCATTTTCAAATGCAACTAGCAAACGAGTTAAAAGGAAAGAAAGGTATGATTTCATGGAAATGATTTTGTATAGATGTTACAAGTTGTATTAGATCCTCTTCGGGTTCCTCTTGGTGATGGTGGGGCAAACTTTAACGAGGATTTTGAGTCTCAAAGAGGGTGTATGTAAGTGTGAAAAGGAACATCCAACCTTTTGCACCTAAGTTTGAAAATATACCGCAAGTTTTGTAACACCTTTGGCTAATTTCACGTCGACAAATCATGCGAGAGATCTATGATTTATAAGGAATATACAACCTTAACTGACAAAATGTCGTTTTGGATGAAATAGAAAGAGCTTGTAAGAACTCAGAAGGTAAACGTACTCAGTGTAAAACAATGTAGAGATGTGTGATATCTCGGAACTCACTATCATATTATCCCAAAATCAAAATAATGAATTTGTTGGTGATGTTACAAATAACTGAGTAGCCTATGTTTTTTTTTTTGGGGGGTTTCTAAGGGGTTGTTTGGAAGTTGCGATTGTTAAATATATGTATTGTTGTGGAAGCATGTATAATATTATACATGTATTGTCGAATTTGATGCATTGTAGAATATTACGTTTGGTATGTGTGATTGTGTATGTCACATTAGCTAAAAACCGAGACAAAACAATCACAACTAAAAGTTGAGTGAATGTTTCTATCACATCACAAAAACAGTTCATGTATTGATTTTGCTAAAAATAAGAAATAAAAAAAACAATGCATTCTAAATAATACATGTACAATGACAATCTCAACAAAACAATCGCAACTTTCAAATCACTATGAAAAGTGCATAATCTTGGTCCAAGACCACGGGGGACGATTTACCCAAAACAGAAACGACTGCAGAATCCGGATGCAAATTTCAATACCGTTATTATTTTACATTTATTTTTGTCTTCTTTATGCAACCTTTTTTTCCGAAAATATAAGAAAAGAATTATAAAAAATAAATAGAAATATGGGAAACAAATAGAAAACCTAGTTCGTTTCTCAAATTGCGGCAGCTTCGCCATTTATTGCTCAGCCACACTCTTTCGCCACGAACCAACACTTTCCCCATCCTCCCTGGCCCCCCCGCCTTCTCCGGCCGCCGCCCATCCTCCACTCCCCGGCGGCGACGTCGCCATCACCGCGGCAGCCGCCTTCCCGAACCCAAGCCAGCCGCTGGCATCTTTCATCTTCTCCGCCAGCCAATTCGGCTTCGTCTCGCTGGAATTTCGCCCCTGCCAGGCTGCCACAGCTCTGGAAAGTCGTCTCACTCACGCTTCAAACTCGCCAGCTCGTTCGCTTCCTTAATCGAATTCACTCCCATCCCATTTCCTCGTTCTCGCCCGTGTATTCTCTACTGCGTCCGCCGCCCCAGGAGTAATCAAAGCCTAGTCCGACGTCACTGCCGTCTTTCAATGTCGGAGATTTGAGGTACCGAAAACTCATTTCCCTCCTCGCCGGTTGCCAGTAGTCATCGGCCGCCGGAGAAACAGCCCCGTCCTGTATTAGGCAAAAACCTGGGTTGGGTGGGTGTTTGATTAATCGGGTGGAAATTAAGCAGCTCCTTTTCGTTTCTTAAGGAGTTGGCATTGATTGAAAATGATTGTTGCGATTCAGATGTGTCACTAAGGTCTCTGAATGTCACGATCCAGCTGATGCCGTCTGTAACTTTTGTGGGCGAGTGTCCATTTTATGTTTTGGGAAAGCTGTTGGAAAGTCGGCACTGGAAATGGTTTTGACAGTCGTTCTTCATTTACTGATGGGGCATAATGCTAGATGCTAAGTTTACTGTTTCACCCTGTTTCGATAAAAGGGCCGGTCTTGTTTCTGTCCGTGGTCATCTCCGGGTTGGGTGATGAAGCCTGACCCCATTTTTTGTGTAGGTCTTGTTTGGATGATTGGAAAACTTACCCTGCCGCTCAACTTGCTACTAAAATGAGACCAAGATCAAATGGGGTTTCTAGGAATCAGAGGGAGCATAGCTTTGAGGGTGGAGGACCAAATTGGATTCTCATTGCTGGTGGTGCCTTGTTGAGTACTTTGACAATCCGCCTTGGCTCCAAGCTGAAGCAGACCCTTGATTCTAGGAGGGAAACACGTGCTAGTAATGCTCTAACTTGTTCTTGTTTATGCATATCGATATATGATCATTTTTGTCCTTTGCTGTGAACGCTTAACCTTTTAAGTTTCTGCAATTCAGGAAATGAGAAATTGTGTGACAGAAGGAGATCGCCAGATTGCCATATGCATCCGAATATGTACTCCTATACACATGACGATGATATCTGCTTCAATTCTGCTTCCGGTACAAAGAGCTTTATTTCATTTTTCATTTTATTGTATCTGGACTCTGAATGTATTATGAGGAAGTAACCCAAATAATTTGTTGCTGCTGCTCATCAAATGATTTGCTACTGTACTCATGATATATATCTTTGAGGAATATTCCGAAACGCCTTCCTTTTTCTATTTTGTGGATCGCTGCTATGTACTCTAGCCCGTGTTTTTATTTCAAATATTTTCATTCGGCCTTTGTCTTGTGATTTGTGTTCGAGGCAGGGAATGAAGGCATTGAAGAAGTAAAATATCCTCCTAATGATCACTCGCTGTCTGAAACTGATGGTGCACTCCCTTTGGTTACAGTCAATGCACCAGAATACTCAAGAGAGAATGGCATTATGTGGGTTTCATCTCTTGATCGTCTCGAGTTACCGCCAAAGCCATTTCACCATTCAAACTGCTCTGACTCGCCATGTGTGTCTGAGTCTGGTTCAGACATATTTAGCAAGCGTGAAGTGATACAAAAACTGAGACAACAACTAAAAAGAAGGGACGACATGATAATTGAGATGCAGGACCAGATCATGGAGTTGCAGAATTCAATAAATTCTCAAATGGCAATTTCTACTAGTTTGCAGTCTCAACTTGATGCTGCTAACAAGGATCTGTTAGATTCGGAGAGAGAAATCCAAAGGTTGAGAAAGGCCATTGCCGATCACTGTTTAAAACATGCAAACGGTGATGGGAAACCGTCAGTTGTCGCTGCATGGCCACCTGAGGTAAGAAATGGGCATGGAAATGGGTATTCGGATGCTGAAAGCACCTATGACTTTCCTGAAAAAGGCAGGATTGATGGGGAGAAGGTCGAGATGCTTAAGAGGGAAGTAGGAGAATTGAAAGAAGTGTTAGAAGGGAAGGAATACTTGCTGCAGAACTACAAGGAGCAGAAATCGGAGCTTTCAATGAAGATCAAGGAGTTGCAGCAAAGACTGGATTCCCAGCTCCCTAATATTCTATAGGGGCGTTGTTAGGCCATGTGAATTCTTGCTTTCCCCCGGACTTTGATTGTCACTTCCGGTTTTTGGAGATTGTTCTTTATCCAAGATTTTAGGTTAGAAATCTAGTGTTTTCTGTGCTCGCATAAAGTGTGCCAGTTGCGGATGTGATTAGCGAGAGGCAAAGCAAGGGTTTGTAATTGTCCGTTTTGCTTGTCAATGTCTCTGTTCACTTTTATAGAAATATGAATGCAATTTTCCACGAAGCGTGAACCCTGTTGCATTTTTGGCTTCTTTGTTTACCTGTTTACACTGTTGTCAATCATAGAAATAAGTTCCTTACATCTTTGTATGCTAGAGCAACTTGTTTCGGCTCTTCTTCGGATAAAATTTTAATCACAACGGATTTCACTATCAACAGATATGCTCTTTATCATGGGCAATTGGGCATCTTTGACGATTGTTTATCCGACTTTAAATTTCTATTATTTTTGTCATCATCACAGCAGCAGTTTCAACAACTGAGTAAACCATCTGAAGAAGTATACTTCAGGCTATCTTGCACAGACGTTTCCAGGCACCTGTGCTTTGATTTTAAATCAAAGATGACAGGTCTGTTTGCCTATCTTGTCTTCAATCCTCTATGGCTTATAATTTATTCCTCCAATTTTCTTCTGTTGTCATTAAATTGTTGAAAATTTTCGTACATGGTTTAAATTGTATGCAGTGCAGTATACTTCTAGTATGCAAGAATAATTTTGGGAGGACGAAGAATGACTGTCAAAGGGAGTATCAAATGCTGAGAGACTGAACTAGAATGGAAGTCGGATAACCTTCATTGATACGAGGGGTTAATCAATTAGCTTCAGTTGGCTTAGCCATGCCATGAGGGTGAATTACACAAGGTATGCTTAAGAAAACACTCAAATGGCTTCTCTATTGCACATGCACACTACTCATTTTTTTAGTTATGTTACTTGTGATATTATCCACTGATTAGATGTGCTTGGGTGTTGGGAAGATCATAAGATAGATAGAACTATTTTCTTTCACTGGTACAACTTTATGGAGAAGATACGTTGGTATTGGTTATTCTTTGCGTAATGGGTTCTTTGAATGGTCAAGTAATGTTGTAGGTTTCCCCAATATGCGAGGGAAAAAAGGTAACAGCCAATAGTTAGTTTCATTCATTCTGTTTTCTCTATTTTTATCTTTACTTTTTCTCTTTTGGAGAAGGAGCCCATTTGGTTCGGACCCTTTGGCTAATGTGGTGCAAAGTGAAAGGCTTGGTTAATCGTAGACACTGGCAGTTTCATCAGTTTGTTTTCTTTGTCGTTGTTGTTTGAGTTTCATTCCATCATTTCGTTCAAGTGTGGAGTATGGCTGGCTTCATAGTTGATACATAACAGAAGCATTTGTATAAATAATTAAAGTCTGCAGAAAGAGATACAGCTACCGTACGATGTTGTATATCGATTCCAAGATTTGTGGAAATGAAATATGCCATTTGATGGGACTATTGGATCCTTAAATAAGATAATATGTATTTGATCACAATGTTATAGCACAGATTAATAGATTGATTATAATCTGTAAGTTCAGCTATCAGTCAGGAGTAGTCCTCATTTCCTTGCCAATTCTATTTCAAGCTAGTAGAATGCTCCCCTTGCTTAGTCCGATGTTTGAGGATCTACTCGAGTCAAAATAGCACTATCGTATTTAGTTGCATGTCTAATTTTCTTTTCGTTCAAATGGAAGTCAGCCAAAAATAGCTACGTGCAAAGTTTCTTAACCCTTTTATCTTGCATTCTATTTTAAGCATTGTCTTGCCTACATAAATCCATTTCTGGGATCCTGCAAAACAATCAATTAAACCTTTTGGGTTTTGAGGATAACATTGGAGATGGCGAATGCTATGAGACTGTGCACCTTGGGTCTTTTCCTTTTGTCCTGCTGGACGTGTGAGGCAGGCAGCAAGGTTACCAAGGCAGTGGATGCTAATATGAAATACAAAGATCCTAAAGTGCCTGTCGAAGATAGAATTACTGATCTATTGAGTCGAATGACTCTTGAAGAAAAGGTCGGTCAGATGACACAGATTGAGGTACCAGTTGCCACTCCTGAGATCATGGAGAAGTACTTCATTGGTACGTTTCTATGTATATGCATGTGCCACCAACACGAATTTTTCCTATTCTTAGTTACTCTTCTTATATGGCAAATGATAAATATTGATAATGCAGGGAGCTTGTTGACTGGTGGAGGAACTCAGCCTGTTAAAGATGCGTCTGCAAAGGACTGGGTGGACATGATCAATAAGTTTCAGAAAGGATCTCTGAAAACTCGACTTGGGATACCTATGATTTATGGGATCGATGTTGTTCATGGCCACAACAATGTTATTAATGCCACCATTTTCCCTCATAATGTCAATCTTGGTGTTACCAGGCAAGTGAAAATGATCTCCTAACCTAACTGCACAAACGTGGTTTTGGTGGCTCATAATTATCATTTATCAGGAATATTTTTCACAGTATCTGCATTTGTTGTTGTTGCTAGGGATCCTGCTCTTGTCAAGAAGATTGGCGAGGCAACTGCTGTGGAAGTTAGAGCTACAGGAATCCCCTATGCTTTTGCTCCATGCATTGCGGTATAAAAAAACAGATACTTGGCAGTTTCTTGCTGTCTAATGCCAATTTCTTTTTCCTCCTTGTTATCAGATTGTTTAGAATTATTACTTTTCCTTTCGGCGAGTGCAGGTTTGTAGAGATCCGAGATGGGGGAGATGTTACGAGAGCTACAGTGAAGACCACAAGATCGTTGAAGAGATGACTGATATAGTTAATGGCTTGCAAGGGGACCTCCCACCCAATTATCCAAAGGACTACCCGTTTATTGGAGGAAAGTAAGAACTCTCTTTATCAGTAGCAATCCCTAGACTTGTGCGAAAAGCCATGCTTGATTTTATCCTTGTTCAATCCATGCAATTTTTTTGAATAATACTTGCCAGGGATAAGGTAGCAGGTTGTGCCAAACATTATATTGGTGATGGATGCACGGTTAAGGGCATCAATGAGAACAACACCATCATCGACATGAAAGATTTGATGTCCATGCTCATGCCGGCTTACGATCTGTCGGTCCAGAAAGGTGTTGCCACAGTTATGATATCTTATTCAAGCATCAACGGGGTAAAGATGCACGCCAATAAAAAGCTGATTGACCTTCTCAAGGAGAAGTTCAAGGTACATAAACCAACAGCAATTACTATGACATTCTGTTATGGAGTTTCGTCGTCAATTAATGGGTTGCAGCGGTTAATGGGTTGCAGGGTTTCGCCATCTCTGATTGGCAAGGAATTGACAGGATCACTTATCCACCTGATGCCAATTACACGTACTCCGTTCAGGCCTCCATTTTAGCTGGCCTCGACATGGTAATCAGTTACTATGCTAATTGCCCAAATTGCACTGGCGGAGTAGTAAGCATATCCAACAGCTTAATGTTCTTTTATCATCTTTTTTTGCTTTTGTGTACCTTCTCCTCCCAGATCATGGTTCCTGACAACTACACAGATTTCATTGGGAACCTGACGAAATTGGTTAATGATAAAGTCATTCCAATGAGCCGCATTGATGATGCTGTGACCAGAATCCTGAGGGTCAAATTCTTGACAGGCCTCTTTGAGAACCCAAATCCAGACTACAGTATGGTGGATATGATTGGGACAAAGGTGAGAGTAGCGGATTTTATTCTTTGTCTCCCTTACATTTCTCGTAATTGAGTCTGCCCACTAACCATCATTCTAACATGTTTGCCTGAACTGAAATTTCCTAATTTAGGAGCATAGAGAACTGGCCAGAGAAGCTGTGAGGAAATCTCTTGTGCTCTTGAAAAATGGCAAGACGGAGAGTGAACCCATCTTGCCCCTGCCTAAGAAGACCAAAAAGATCATTGTTTTGGGATCCCATGCTGACAACTTGGGATATCAATGCGGCGGCTGGACCGTTGAATGGCAGGGATACTCTGGCAATGACAGGACTTCAGGTGATGCATTTCACCATTCATCATTCACCACTCTCTGCTCTTACTTATTTGCAGACTTAACATCCAGCCGCCTAGTGCAAGACAAAGATGAAAGATGGAACCGGAAATTCTAAAAACTATAACAAACATTGTTTGTCTGTCTGTCTGCAGGAACTACCATTCTGAAAGCGATTACCAACACGGTGGATCCAAGCACACAAATCCAGTTCAGTGAGAAGGCCGACCCTGAGTTCCTCAAGGCCAACAAAGACGCAGACTTTGCAATCGTGGTGGTGGGGGAGAAGCCATACGCAGAGACCAAAGGCGACAACCTGAACCTGACCATCCCTCATCCGAGCCAGGAGGTCATCAAGAAGTCGTGCACCAGTGGGATCAAATGCGTCGTGATCCTCATCTCAGGCCGGCCCCTCGTTGTCGAGCCGTTCCTGCCAGCGATGGATGCATTTGTGGCGGCTTTCCTTCCTGGCTCTGAAGGCCAAGGAGTTGCTGATCTGCTGTTTGGGGACTTTGGCTTCACTGGGAAGTTGGCCAGGACTTGGTTCAAGAGGGTTGATCAGCTCCCCATGAACTTTGGGGACAAGAACTACGACCCTTTGTTCCCCTTTGGGTTTGGCCTTGAGACCAAGAAGGGCGATGGACAGGGCGAGTTGTGATAAATTTTTTGGGTACTAACAGGATTAAGATAGAACTCAATTGCTATGTTCCCTTTTTTTTTCTGGAGGGACTGGATTTATAAAGAGCCATTAGGCTCTGCAAATAGTTTATGGGGATAAACTATTATTGATATTAAACACATGAGTTGAATTTATTTTAGTCATAATTTTCTATCATTCATGTAAATCTTTTTTTTTTCTTTCGCTGTAATGTAATAGCAATCTACTTATTCATCCATTTAGAACAAATTTTTAACTATGTTAGAATGGTTCTCTATATGGGAAAATGAAACCTAGTTTGGGCTAAAATTCCTATTCCTCTTAGGCTAAGACTCTGAAATTAATCACCCAACCCAAGTCACGTTACAACAATCCTTGTCTATCAAGGATTCCAAGTCCTACAAAGAAAATGACACATCTTTGGAATTCTTAGCGTGCATCCTACTCGTAAACGGAGTTGTTAGGTCACGCTTTAAAGTTTAAGAACTTACGCTTGTACGATTTTTATGTAATCAAAATGATTTTATGTAGAATCACGCTTTTCATCACTAATGTAGTCAAAATCGCGGTTTAAAGCTTTACTCTTTTACACTTCCAGGACACCAAAAAGTTTCTACGTAGAATCGAGCTTTTGACTGCATGCTTTCGCCACCTCAGCTCCAATTGAGTACCGTTACATAAACCATGATACAGTTAAGAAAGGCGTTGGAAAAACAAAATAATAATGAAGAAGATCATATTTGTCAAAACTTTAAATACGTTTAGATATTTTTTATGTTTTTTTTTTAATACATTTGCTATTATACCCGTCAAACGTTTGACCATACCAACTCTGTTTTGCTTTCTACTACACTTAATTATAATCTCTCGACCACCAGCTACCCAAATTTTTTACTTTAGACAAGAGTGGAGTTTCTCGTTCACGTACATAACCTATTTTGCCATACTCAAATCATCACAAGCCACTGATGAAACCCATCATTTTCAAGAATCCACTGATTCCATCTAAGGTTTCGAGGAATCCACCAGTTACCAGTAGTTGAGAGACTTCCTGGTCTGAAAGCTCAACCAAGAGACCAGGTTTGGTTTCATCACCTATGTATATATCTTTTTATTTATTTATAAATTCTTGCATTTTCTCTTGTTCTGATTGGATGGACAATATGCCAACTCTGTTTTGGTATTGGAATTTGAAAGTAGAAAGAAATTAAATGATGGGTTTGTTCGAGCAAACAACTTGTTTACTCGTTTTCCATTTAGAGATTTCTCTTGTATGTGACGGTTAAATATTTCCCGTAATGGAAAGTGGGCCAGAAGGAGATACCGAGTGAAGAGTCAAAGACTATGCTCGGGGGCGAATCTTAAACTTGGAGTCTCTGTGGGTTTGTTGATGTATAAGAATTTTCATAGTTTAATGTGCAAAAATTTGTCCAAATTTTCAACGCTATTTGAAACTGATTTCTTGAATTAGGGATAATGATTTTTGGTTTGACATGCTTGCTCTTTGCTCTGGTTCCACCTAGTTGGTTTCAAGATTTTATCGAGTCACATGTAGGGCGAGACGTGAATCTTCATCATCTTCGATAGATCAACACGTCTTGACTTGTGGTCATACTGATACACCAAACCTATCGCAAACCCCTACAATAAAAAAAAAAACACCGGCATGAGCATTCATTTATTTGTCAACACTGTTTTGTTCTTCCCGTTGCCATTCCCAGGTCCGAGATACACAATCATACGTGTGTTGAAAACACTCTTCAATTGCAATAACTTCCCGCTCTTCCTTTACGGACGCTTTTTTTTTTGTCTCTATACATCACGCTTTTGTCATTCAACCCTAATATACACATTTTCATCCTGACATTATTTTCCTTTTTTACCTACTCCAATTCGAGATGGACATATACATAATCGAATTCAATTCAACAACATAGATAAATATTTCAGATCCGAATCAAATCACTCATTATCTCATACATTTTCCCTTTCTTCTCCTTCATTTAACGTTTTTTTTTCCTCTTTTTTTTTGGTGTTCATTTCCTCTGTATATGTCTCTGACAACTTCCTCTGTTCCATCATCCCAACTTTCTGAAAGGTCCTCTGTGGAAACATAGCACCAATGCTCGACTACACCTGCCGCCCGCCTCGTCCCACCGGTCTCCTCGTCTTCTCCGGAGGAATTTATCATCGGTTTCGCCGCCGCCGCCAGTACCGTCACCAATTTCACCTGCCGCCATTCCTAGCGGACGAACCTGCAACCTCTGCTCGTGGCCATTGTCGGGCTACTGTTGTGGTTCATGCCAGAATGGGTAATGAATGTATGCTTTTGGTGGTGTTTTCTTTTGCTTATGTACTTGCATTAAGTAGTGGCAGTTTGAAAGCTCTGTTCTGGTTTGCAGGTAGGAGCCATTTGATTAGGAATGGAGGTGAAGCGTCTGATATGAGGGAGAAAATGGAGGAGGAGAAGAAGAAGAAGAAGGAGGAGGAGTTTCCTGATGAGCTGCTTCCCTGGGGATGGAGCTTGCCTGAGGACTGGACTTATTAATAAGAGACTTCAATGTAATGGAGAAGAAGAAAAAAAAATTAAAACTTGTTCTTGAATAATGAATGATGTAACAATTGATGTGCCTCCAATAGGGGAGAAATTGAGGATGAAGTTAAAATAAAATGAAATAAATAATAAATTCTAATTTGTTGGAGACCAACAAAACATTTTCTGGCATTGATGAATTCGTCGTTCACTTTCCTTCCGGTATGATAGCTGGCGGTGTTGTGAGGGGAGACAATGGCCCGTTTTATCGGAGCTTTTGCCAGGGGAGGGGGGGGGGGGGGGGGGAGGTTTCATTATCTGTGCATAGTTAAGTTAAGATCGTATGGGGAACTCGGGATCAGGGAAGTTCTTTCTCCTGACAAATTCTTACCATATACCCAAACAACTTATTGAAACAAACCACACCATCAATCACATCTCTCATTATACGACAATGGTTGGAATCCCACGCCGTATGACTGCTTTCGTGGGGAGGTTCGTTTTAACAGCCACACCCATAGAGAGGCCAATGTTGTGTCAATTATTTAGCTTCATTGTAACCATTAATAATCATTTGACGAACACATATTTCTTTGTTATTCCCTTGTAATTCGAGCAAATTAAAGTTCAAATCTTTAGATTCGTTAATACATAAATATTAGGATTCACTCCTTTTATATATATATATATATATATTATTAAAAAGAGTGAAGTGAAAGTTGTGTTGATTTCAAAATTTCATTATAAACTTTTTTTTTGGTATGAATGAAATGAAGACTAGCATTGTGCAATCTAGAAACTAGAGACTTTTCTTCCAATTCATGCCTTGTTGCTTGACGAATGGCATGTTCCGTAAATACGAGCAAATCTTCGGTTAATAATAAACCCCTGTCCGTTTTTATGGTTCGCCCATTTCTCCCAGCCTGCTGAGCCCTCCACTGCCGAACCCTACGAAATCCCCAAATTGTCCCTTCTCGAACAAAGCCCCCCGTCACCTCCTTCTCCGTTTTCGTTCTCGACTTCGTTTCACATCCATCGTCTTCGCTTCAGAGCTCTCTCTCTCTCTCTCTCTCTCTCTCTCTCTCTCTTTCTTTCTGGTTCTGTCTCCCGCGCTCGGTGGCGTCCACGTCTTCTGCTTACGTCGATCGGCGGCCGCCTTCCGCTCTCGCCAGCTATGACTCTGATGACTACTCCGCCGTTGGATGTAAATTCCTACTCTGAGACTCCTCCCTTCCTACTGTCGCTATACGCTTTCCCTGCGCGTGTCTTTCTCTTCCATCTTTCCCCATCCCTATTCTGGCATTTGGCTTTGGTTTAGTTCCAATTTGATCCAATTTCGATTTCGGAATGATTAGGCTTTTCCTTTCTGTGGGTTTCGTTACTTCAATCACCAGAATTTGGTCACTTTCGCTGTCACTCCGAATGCGAATTCGCTGCTAGGGTTTTTTTCCCCCCATCGGCAGATCCGAGTTCTTGTATTAACTCTGCTGTTCAATGTCTGTTTTTTTGTTTTGGGCAAATTTTTTGTAGCAGCAAGAGGACGACGAGATGCTGGTCCCCCACACTGAGTTCACGGAAGGTCCTCAGCCCATGGAAGGTGCGCCCCCAGGGATAGTTACGTTTAACTTTTTGTTGTTGTTGTTGCTGTTGTATTGAGGCAGTTGGGTTGCGACTGTTGTGTGTGATTGCTGTGATTTCCGTGTTCTGCCATCCTTATACGTCCTTACTATTTCTATCGGATTCAGAGTTCGAGATCTCAGGTGATCAAGTGGGTCGCTATGGGGTTTATGGGGATAATGTTGGGTAGTTCTGTTTGATCATCTTATGGCTTTTTTGTAGCGTGGTGGGTCGGAGGAATGATTTTGTTTCTCATTTTGGTAGAAGGATTTTGTTTTTCTGGTGCTTCTTTATTAAGGAAGGAACTAAATTTTTTATCTTTATTAGAGTGAGGGACATTTGAGTTTTGCTACGAAGTGCTCTAAAAAATCAATGCCATATCTCATGCATTTTTAATTTCTCATCTCCATCTTCAGTAGCACCTGCTGAACCAGCTACAACAGGTGATGCTCAGTCTGTCGATGATCCACCATCAGCAAGGTTTACCTGGACAATTGACAACTTTTCGAGGCTCAACACCAAGAAGTTGTATTCTGATGTTTTTGTCGTTGGAGGTTATAGATGGTATGTCGAACCTCGTCTATTTGATATCTTTGCATAAATTTCTGCTTGTTGTTTATATGTTTTTTGTTCTCTACCCTTATGCGCTAAATTGCTTATGTAGGCGAATATTGATTTTCCCCAAGGGTAACAATGTGGATCATCTGTCCATGTACCTAGATGTTGCAGACTCTGGAACTCTGCCATATGGCTGGAGTCGATATGCCCAATTCAGCTTGACTGTTGTAAATCAACTTCAACAAAAGTGCTCAATCCGGAAAGGTAGCTGTTCATCCTTTCGTGGTGTCAGAGACCATGCATTGTCTCGAATACTTGTAGTGTTAGTTTTGGAGCTTTGTTCTAGATCATTGTTTCTTGGTGATAACATATGCTTGGTTATGTGGTACGCACGACAATTAATTTCTGAAATAGCCTTGGTGGATGAATTTGTCTACTAGTTTATTTAATGGGGTATACCGAAAGAGCGGAGGTACTCTTACAAACACTCGGGTCTGTAAAGCTGTCAACGGTTACTGTGTGTTGAAGTACACTTCAGTTTATAGGAAACCCTGATGTGGGTGAGACCGTGGGCCTTTATGTGAGCAGCTTATTGATCTAGCTCATTTTCTATCCGTTTTAGGGTTGTTTTTAACCGTTGTGATTATGTTAGTTGTTGGCAACTAATCTTGGTCAAACACGTTTGAATGAGAGAGAAAAAAAAATTCAAATTGGATACTTGTTTCAGTGTTAAGGCACAAGGGTATGTGCAAAAACAGTAATAGGGTTCTTGGATGCTGTAGATGCACTTTTGTATTTGTGATGAATAGGGCAACAGTATGGGCTGTTAGCAATCCATCCGATTGTTCTCCTCCAGAAGAGGTTTCCAGAGAATCAGTCATTGGTGCTTTCTAATTCTGAAGTGGTTAGTTATAACAGAAACTGTAAGCAATCCATCCGATTGTTCTCCTCCAGAAGAGTTTTCCAGAGAATCAGTCATTGGTGCTTTCTAATTCTGAAGTGGTTAGTTATAACAGAAACTGTAAGCTGTCAGAGATGCTATGTTTAGCGTGGATTTGTAACTTGTTTTATGGCAAGACATATTTGCATGTGTATATATGTGTATGGTAAGTTCCTAGCATCAGCAACATGACAGCTGTCCTTCATGTACCCCGTTGCCTGCTCATTTCTCAAATAAAATTTCGAGTCAGGATAAAGAAGTTTGTACATTAGACCATGTTCTATGTCACATCTGTGTTTCTCTGCTTAACCTGCTTCCTTTCTGCATAAAGATCTGTTGTGTACCCTTTCCTCCATCTATCCAGTGCATTATTCATCAGTGAAGGTGTTGATTTTATAACTACACTAGCTCAATGATGGTGTTGGTGCTTTGGCATGAGATAAAATGTTGGGTGGAGAAGTACTTTTGGTTGGAAAATAAATTCCCTGAATATTAGCATTGGTTGTGATATAACCTGAAAATTCGGTAACTTTTGTATATGCAGAGACACAACACCAGTTCAATGCACGTGAGAGTGACTGGGGATTTACTTCATTCATGCCCCTCGGGGAGTTATATGACCCTGGCAGAGGTTATCTTGTTAATGATATTTGCATAGTAGAGGCAGATGTTGCTGTACGGAAAATTATGGATTATTGGTCCCATGATTCTAAAAAGGAGACGGGCTATGTTGGTCTTAAAAATCAAGGAGCCACATGCTACATGAACTCTCTTCTTCAGACACTCTACCATATTCCTTACTTCAGGAAGGTTTGTCTATACCTTCAGTTACCAAGCATTTGAAACTTGTTTATTATACGGATAGAGTAAATGTGAAATTAGTCAAAGCCTTATGGCTGGAATGTTATTGCAGGCTGTTTATCACATGCCAACAACGGAGAATGACATGCCATCAGGAAGCATCCCTCTCGCTCTGCAGAGTTTGTTTTATAAGCTTCAGTACAGTGACACTAGTGTCGCGACAAAAGAGCTGACAAAATCTTTTGGTTGGGACACTTATGATTCTTTCATGCAGCACGATGTGCAAGAACTTAATAGGGTCCTTAGTGAAAAGCTTGAAGATAAAATGAAGGTAAGACTAGGGGAGTGGTAAGTTTGCTGTGTGTCGCACTCAACCTTGTCTTGTTGAAATGTTAACAGACATTGTCTTTGTTTCTTGATTCAGGGAACTGTTGTAGAGGGAACAATACAACAGTTGTTTGAAGGGCACCATATGAATTATATAGAGTGCATCAATGTGGATTACAAGTCCACTAGGAAGGAATCATTTTATGGTAAAGATTGTGATATGTTGAATATTCATTATTAGTAGACGTGTCCCGCACTTATTCATTTTATTAATTTCATGTAACTTCAGATCTTCAGCTTGATGTCAAAGGTTGTCGAGATGTCTATGCATCTTTTGACAAGTATGTTGAAGTGGAGAGTCTTGAAGGGGATAATAAATATCATGCTGAACAACACGGTCTGCAGGTAAGATGCATTCAGAAATCGTGTTTACAAGAGCTTTAGTACAGAATTTGTCACAGGGCTCTAGGGGATGGTTTGTTAAAAGTTCTCAACTTTCCTTTTAGTTGTGATTTTCATAGATTATGGAATCCTCTAAAGGAATCAGAGATGTCAGACTTTCGAGTACACAGAACATTTTTATACCCATTCTTCCATGGCGGGTATTGACTTCACTGTTCAAATGGCTATTTCCTTTAGATTTTTTGCCCACCCATATTGTTGATTAGCGAAACTAAATCTTTTGGGGTTGAAAATTTAACATGAAATTTGATATTCTTAGATAATTAAATCGCTGAGGTAGTAGGGTTGGTTTTGAACCCATAAAAAAATCTACTATGTCTATGACCGCAACAACTAGCACAATAGTGTCACACTAGGATGACTGGTCGAGTACTAGTTGACCAATGGTTCCAGTAAGGTAAGAACATATGTTTGATGCCTTTATGATTTCAAAGTGCTGTTGTCTTACGGGCAAGTGTTAGCTTGTCTAACTTTTAATCTAGTCTGGGTGTGAGGAAGTTTTCATTTGAATTTGAAGCAGGCATGTTGAAGGGAACATCTGGACCATGAAAGTGGAAAATTATGATAAGGCTTGAATTAATAAGTAATATATCTTAATGTGAACTGATACCTGTACTGCAAAACCTAACAGCCCGTTTGGAACCAACGAAAGCTTTAGAAAATAGAATTCATTTCCAAGTTCTTTCTTGGTGTGCTTGGAATGGGTGAAAGTTAGGAAATGGAATTCAAAACGTGTAATGAATATTTGCTAAAACAAAAACTTTTTTCTTTTCTCACAAAGACTTGATAGATACTATTACTGTACTTTTTTCCCCTTTAAGTCTATCTGGTTTGTACTGGCTACAAAGCTGACATCCTGATCCTAAATTCTCCTTTCCGGACATACACTTCAACATGAAAGTAGAAGTACTGAGAATTATATTGAAAACCTAA